ATGTTTATATTGCGATCTCGAAAACTGCTAGAGGTAACTAGGGAAAGTTTTCCGACAATTCTGTTTGTAATTTATGTTTGTGTTTCTATTTCTATCACTTTTGGTTTTTGAGATATTTTGAAAGAGGCATTTTTGAAAACACCCTGTAATTTCATTATTTATGAAAAATTTTGAAATCTGTCAAAACTTTCTTAAAACAACTTTTTACGTAGAAAATATCTGTGTAATCAGACTTATGGCAAAACAACAAAAGTAAGATTTTTAATAAATTTGGCAACTTGAAATACATGAAATATTATAAAACCGTTTGGAAAAATTAAAGAACTGAACAACGTTTATTTTACATTTTACAAAAAGGGATTTCAGTAAATAAATAAACAATCATGTTCTCAAGAAAATTCATAGTAATTAAGTGCGAAATAAATTATTATGAAATTATATTCAAAATTACAATATTTAAAAATTATATCGTATCCTCGTATTCATGAGTTTCGGTTAAAGATTCTTCACTCTCAATCTATGCTAGTCAGATCATATACCTTGGGTTACTTTATTTTTTTGGGAAACGGATAACTCAACAAATTGTTTTTTTGTTGATGGACCAGACTCTTCAAAATCCATGAGCTCTGCTTCCTCTTCAATAATCGGCTGACTTCTAGACATTCTTGCCAAAAATTTATCCCAACAATAATTGCTGCTTCGCCATCTGTGTGCTCAACCACTTAAAAATGATTTGATCCTACCTAGTTGTGCCGAACCACTCTTTCGTTCTTTAAAAAAAAAACACATTTGCTATATCGACTTCCTTTCTATTTTGAAATCCATTTTTTAGAAACTTGGCGCAAACGGTTTGGCGCATAGACTTAAAATAAAATATAGACTGAGCATCTCATTTATAAATAGCTGGAACATGCGGTCAGACAACGTCTTGTTATTGTTGTGTATATTGATTAGGTTATAACGAGTGCGACACGAGCGATAGATAGGTTGTCTCTGTCTTAACGGTCGTTCCCTGACGACTCTGCTGAGAAACACAACACTGTCTTTCCTTTCTCAAGTACACCTGAACTCTCCGTATCATAGCCGGGTAACTTTTTTATTTTAATGAAGCTATAATTAAATTAAAAATATATCGTATTTAAACTTTTTTATATTTTATTAAGATTTAGGACAGGTTTTTGGAATAAAAGTTTAGAAAAAAACGTCTTAGAGTCCAAAAAGGATAAAAATAATAAAATACACGTTATAGAAGAAATTTTATTAACGAAATTACGTAATTTTTGAAATTAATAATAAATTATTGATTTTAGTCAAACATTTACAACCCCTAATATTAATCAAAACAGGATCTATTTCACAGATATAATAGAATCGGCGACAGGGAGAGAAAAAAAAATATGATTTTTGTAATTTTTTTTTCTGGTTAAGTGACGTCTTATTATGTAAATTAGAGAAAACATAAATCTGTTCCATTAAACCAAGGAAGGTGATAGGAAGTGGATAATATGAAAATTACATTTATTTAACACGGTACTGTCTTTATTATACCGGGTGCGTTCCAAAAGTGGCTCATCCTCAATTTTTTTTTATATTTTCAAATAGTTATGTTATGTTAGTATATGACATAAATTAGGATTGATTGACGCATTCAATTGTTTTTGGTCACTTCCTGTTTCACCGGAAATGAATATAACTTTTAATTTTTAAACGGCACCCTCGGTATATTTCTACTTTATTCGATAGAAAATGATAACAATTTAATTTTTAATAATAATATTGATTTCTGAATAGAATGACATAGCATAATATGTCAACTTTTGACATTTTCGCATATGGTTTAATTGTAATTGTAACACGCGGTTCATAACGACAATTTGACTCGAAATACCAAGTGTGTGGTATCAATATATTCATAAAAAAATGCTTTTTCCAAATATGCTAATGAGTCTCCCTTGTTCCATTTGAAAAAATTGACATATGTATGATTAAAACTACGATTTGTACATCTTTTAACCGGCCTAAACAAGACACGAAACCCATTAGACGATCAAAACTATTTTTCCAAGGCTCCTTGATTAAAACTTAGTGTTTTTAACAACACCATGGCACCCTAGATTGAAATTTAAAATACGATTTGTTTTTAAGCGACAATGTCAAAAGTTGACATATGATAGTCATTCTATTCAGAGTGTCATTTTTTATCGAATAAAGTAGCAATATACCGAGGGTGCCTTTAAAAATCAAAAGATGTAATCATTTCGGTGAAACAGGAAGAGACCAAAAACAATTGAATACGTCAATAAATCCTAATTTATGTCATATACCTACTAACATACAATTTTTTTTTGTATCTGAAAAAATAAAAAAGTTATAGGGGTGAGCCACTTTTGAGACGACCCGGTATATTAAAAAATATTGTTTCATAATGTAATATCATTTTAAAATTCTTGTATGTTATTTTAGATTCTGAAGATAATTTTAGAATAAACCGGAATATATTTTTAATAAAAACATTATTAATTATTAACAGGGTTATAATTATGGTTTTGTTACAATGTAAGTAAGCCAATATTGTAACGTAAGAGAAAAAATTCAGATTTTACATTTTACTAAAATATTATCTAAATAAGCGCCTTTCTACAACAACGCCACTGACACCTAATGGGTAAATTGAGAGTTGCCTACCGGTCGAAAGTCGTTTCAAGACTTAATTGGATTATTTAAGTCAAATTTCTTGCAAATTTGGCACTGGCGAACCATATTTTATAGTTTTTGAACAGAAAAAGTCAATAAAATAAACACTTAAGGACTACAAGCTAAGAAAATGCGTTAATACAACCGGGGAGATAGCGGCAACAAAGGTTTACCACACACGTGCGACACGTACTACAAGGTAATAAATGAATGAATAGGCTCCCTCGCCTCTAATCGGTGTTGTCATATTGTAAAGGACTTATCCTTATTAAACAGTATCCGACTTATAATTTAGTAGTATAAGGACTATTTAATACATCTATGGAATATTAAAACCTACGTTATTAAACTGTAGTATTAATATCTCAATATATGTGTATAACAAGAAAAAAAATATTGATAATATTAAAGACGTGACAACATAGGCTGGATGAGGAAGGCTCGGTCGACTGTACCCAGAAGTAAACATGTGTGCAAAAAAGGTTGTTTGTCCACGTTGAGATGTAAATAGTGTAGTCTATATTTTATTTTAAGTCTATGGTTTGGCGTGTGAATACACCTGATGTGTGAATAGTAGTTATTTTCACACAGAGTATTTTCAGTATCATAATAGTTTTGGAACAGTTACTAAATAAAATACTTGACTTTATTACTTTAAATAATTATTACTGCGCAAGGGGGGTGCAGGGGGGTGCGAAATTTGGACGGTAAAAACCTATTAGTGAACAGAATATTTCTGTGAAAAAAAATAACGTGGGTCCTCGCAAACCTCTAAGGTTTTATGAATTTAAATTTAAAATTTCAAAAAATTATAACATGTTCTTTTATTCAATGTATTATTGCCGGTAACATATGTATTGCAAAGGATAAAATATAAAAATGAACACTTACCTATGTCTTCTATACTGATATATTCTACACAGAAAAATATTTTGTTTCAAATGCGGTACTATCGAATGAACTTTTTACGTAGAAAACACTGAAGCCACTTCTCAACACTGCATTTCAAAAATCTTTAAAAATAGGTCACAAAACAAGAGAAGCAAAACGCTGTAAATATGTTTTTATGCGTTATTGGTCAAAACCATTTTAAGTAAAGGTAGATTAAGGTCTGGTATCAATAATAAATGTGTTAAATATACTAAATTTGCAACTCGCAGCTTTTTCAAATTCTGAACCACTGTGCGCTGGTGCTGACAGCATCGAAGAATACCGTAAATAGCCGACTAAACAAATACACGGGTTTAAATAGCGAGTACACAAAAAAATTGTTATATTACTTGAAAAGTATTAGTAAGTTCAATTTGCGAAAATTCTAAAAAAAATAAAAATGTAAGCCTTTTGATATGTTTAGAAGGTCTAACGTGTATTATAATTCATTGCTCTACTAATAAACCTTTCAAGATTAGCAATACCACGACAGGTAGTGCGCTGGCTGCTTCAACTACGGTAGCGATCATAGTGTTATGCACCGGTTTTGCTAGTTGGGACATAACTAGGGCTATCTGGACTGTAACAAAAAATTTTAAAGGTACATAATTATAATTTTAAAACGCGTCCATGAAAAATTTAAGCACTAGTTGATTAAAAAGAAGTATGTATACTGTTAATATTGTTTAAATAATATTTTATCCTCATAGTATATGCATATTTAATTTTTTTATTATGTAATAAGCACTTTGTTGACTTACTTGTTTCGTCGAACTGCTTGAGTCCATTTTTGCTTTTGATCAAATAGGTGAGAGAAGCTTTAAAGCTTTAAAATGTTCTTTCGGGAAAGTTGAGTTATTGAATGTTATTACACCCAACGATGCCTTAATTACACTTTCCTTTACGGGTTAAACATTTTTCCGACAATTTTATTAACTTTTGAACTTGTTACGACGCCACGGTGGGGCCGATTGAAGAATCGTTGGTCAAAACCTTCAAAGATATATGAATCAACCAAAAATATATAGAATTTAACAGTTTTTGCTTAATTGAATTTCTAGGTAGTCAATCTTCAAAATTTTAGTTAATTAAATTATAGTTCACGTATATACCCAGCATATTAGCTCATCAATATAATGTTAGAAAAAATAGCCGGATGACAAAACTTTTACATTTTTGCCTTGCAAGCCATTTCGAATATTGTTGTCTTGTGGCATGTCTGTGTGTCTGTCTGTCTGTTTATCGGTCTGTTTGATATATTTTTTTATCCGTATGTAACCAACAACTTTGATAAAAAAATAAATATTGTTTTTGGATTCTAGTTTTGAAGAAGTAAAAAAATAATTATTTTCAATCGTGGTCTCACATGTCTCAAAATGAGTAGTCGGCACGTAATCAAGAAAGTATGGGCTAGATTTTTCGAGTACCTATTACAGGCAAGCATCTAAAAATTAATTCCGGATGATGAGGGGCTTCCAAAAGTTTTAATAACCATTTCGGGAAGGGTGGTTTTGGGTGCCGGAATTTTAAATTTAGCGTAATGTAATGTGTTTAAAAATAATTTGTTTAAATGCTTAAATTTTTAAAATCGGTTCATTATTTTAGTACATATCATAGTTTGAATTTACGTGTGGATATTTTAATAAGTTAAGCCGCCATCTTGAAATTTTAAACTGTCATATTTAGACTAAAACGTAATATTTTTAAACATATTGCCTTACTTCAAATCTCCATGTTATTCCATTAAAAAGATAGCAAAGGAGTGGGGACATTGTATATTATCTAAGCCTCGATCTAAGCATTAATTCAGTTAAAACCCACAAAATTTGTAGATTTGAGGTAGGGTGGGACTGAAGGGTCTAGGACTCTTGGACCCCCTAATTATGTGATTGATTACAGGCGAATCATGAGTATCAGATTTTATTAAAATCACACGAATTTAATCTAAATAAATCATAAAGACCTATAGTATCTATTACTCAAAGTACCAGGGACATACTTCCATTTAAAAATATTTTTTTTTAAAGTTGCGCAAAGTTGCGCAAGTTGGTAACAAATACATGAAGGGTAATGTCCAATCTTTCAAAAAACATCAGCCAATAAATTGGGCAACTTTGGGCACTCAACAAAACTCAAGGTTAAATAGCATATTTTATTTCTTATATTATACTAATTTATTAATTAATTTAGTATGCATCAGTAAAAAAGTTTTTTTTTAAATATAGCTAGAAATAGTCAAGTAGTATTGTACTTTTATAAAAAATGCAAAAAATTAATTGTATTTAAAAATTAACCAAGAAATTTTACTTATTATTCGGGCCCTACAAATTGCAATTATTATACACGATAGAACTAAACCTTCGCCATTACTTCACTGGTTACAGATCTGCATCCCAAATTTTTTTCTGTGCATAATATAATATTTCGGTCTTTTCTGTATTCTATGATCATCAAAACTTTTTGAAAAAGCAACTTCTGTTTTATAAGGTTCTGGCCGCAAAAATGGCAATCGGCCCCACTGTGCGACGCCTAGTTCGTGTTCTTTTTCACTTAATTTTTACTACCCGAAACAACGTTACATCACACAAACCTCGCGTACCTGAGTGTTTTATGTTTTCAATAACTGCACTAGCAAAAAACGAAAATGCTTAAATATTATGACAAAGCCACGATTTCAATATCATTTTAATGCGATCAATATGCATTGTAATCGGTACGGCCGGCGCGGCGTGAAATGCATAGCGAAAATTTCTGGTTTCTGCAGTATAGAGCGCTGCGGTCGCAATTTTTTGAAATCAACTGAAATACACCAAGCCTATAATATATTTATATTAATACACTAACCGACAAGAAAGAAAAACAAATAAAATGTATTATTTTTATATATTAATTACAAATCCATAATATAAATACAGGTTTATTCGCCTTGGTTGATTATACCAAAACGGAAAGGTCTAGAAACTAAATATTTCATGGGTATATGTGGGAAGACAATGTGCATAATTTAAAATTATTTTAAAATGTACAGGGTGTGTCAGAACTAAGATCCGTACCAAAGTTATATTTTTTTCTTATGGAACACCCGGTATTTTATTTCATTATTGAATTCTAGGACATAAAATAAGACATTTATTATAAGGGTTTAATATACTTACAAGCTTTGGTTTTTGAGATATTTAAAGATATTTAAATATTTTATTCAGCATTCTATAATAAAAAACATTGTCAATACCCTGTACATTGTTTTTCAGAATTAATTCTTATGCTGACTTTTAAGTCAAAAAAATAAACTTTACTGAAACATTTGATTGCTTCGTTTAATGTATACAGGGGTATTAAAAATTGCTGGTCTATTTTAAATATTTATTTTGCATAAAAACTTCGTTATTTCAAATGCAACTCCCTGTATTTTTTTAAATAAATCGAAGCAAATTTAAATGCTCTTTCAAAATGTATTAGGATTTTCTATACCTCTCTAGCTCAGATTTTGAATAAAGAGCAATTTTTCAATAAAATGGCAACCAAGAGGGCTAGTGTCGTCATGGCAAATTTCTAGTGTCAGTAGGTATTTTCAAAATGGAAATTTGTTTATGGATTTATTTAAGTTTAAACCAGTTTACTTTTATTTAATTTGCGTACAGTAGTTTAATAAATAATATTAATTAAATATGTATTTATCTTCTATTCTCTTATTCTATCAACAAAAACGAAGAAGTAGTTCTTTGATTTATTTTACGATGACTTGTAGATATATAGATTTTCTATAAAAGAACCAGTTACGGCAAATTCATTTTCTTCACTTCCAACGACAGGTTTCTGCCTACGATAGGTTTTTTTTTATAAACGACACATACCAGCCCTCCGAAATAGGACAAGTAGTTTTTCACAGGAACACTTATCTGGAAGATTCCTATTTGAGTATCTTTGAGCATAAGCTCTTGAGGCTAAGAAGCAATTTTCCTAACAAAATATAAAAATAAAATCACTAGTAACATATCCATTCGTTCCACCAGCAGATTCTACTTTATTTTCTTGATAAAATAATGAATACTTACTTATTAAACAATTGTAGGTAAATTTAAGTAAACTCATAACTCATAAATAATAATAAAAAAAGGTTATAAAAAAACTCAAACTTATAAATAATAATGTCCATAAACTAATGTCGAATTTGAAAATAGTTACTGTCACTAGAAAATTGCCATGGCGACCCCAGCCATCTTGATTGCTATTTTATTTAAAAATCGCTTTTTATTCAAAATCTGAGATAGATAGGTATAGAAAACCCTAATATAGTTTGAAAGAACATTTGAATGTGCTTCGATTTATTTTAAAAATACAGGGTGTTGCATTTGAAATAAAAAAGTTTTTTTATATAAAATAAACCCTTAAAATAGATCAGCAAATTTTTGGTACCCCTGTATAAATTTATGGAAGCAATAACATTTTTTAGTAAAGTTTATTTCTCTACCTTTAAACTCACTGCACAAAAATTAATTCTAAAAAGTAATGTGCAGGGTGTTAATAATTTATTCTATTGTAGCATGCATATTTAAATATCTTTAAATATCTCAAAAACCATAGATTTTAAACATATTTAACCCTTATAATAAATGACTTTTTTTGGGCCCAAGAATCCAAAAATGAAATAAAATACCGAGTGTTCCATAAGAAAAAATGTAACTTTAGTATGGATCTTAGTTCTGAAACATCCTGTATATTTCAAAATAATTTTAAATTGTGCACATTGCCTCCCCACATCTCTCTTTGGTCCGTTTCCCTGAAGAGGGATTAGTGACTATGATGTTCCTGTAGCGGTTTTTATCGTATTGTGCCAGTCCGCTCTGTTTTGAGCCATGCTGACGGTTTCATGAAGGCCTTGGCCGATTAGGTCTTTAGTTTGATCAACCCATCTCTTGGGTGATCTTCCTCGTGGTCACTATAGATCTAGCTTATTTATTAAAGAGTCCAGAAAGTGTTGAGAATTACTTGGACGAATATCTTCAGAATAATCCAAAACAATGTGAAGAAGTAGAAAACATAATATTACATCATAATGAATTAAGTGTGATGCCTGGGAATATACATAGGTAACTCATTTGAAACTGAAATAATTTCTGTAATAGTTATTTTTTATTGTTCGTTTCAGATTTACAAATATTAGAATATTGGATATTAGTAATAACGGATTAACTATTTTGCCGGATATTTTCCAGTATTGCCAACTGTCTAATTTAATTTTGAAAAATAATAGATTAAGGAATGATACGTTGCCAAAGGAGTTTACCGAATGCAGCTCGTTAAAAGAGCTAAACTTAAGTGGGAACGATATCAAGTATTTTCCAGACCAAATTTTAAATTTCCCCAACTTAAAATTTCTCTATTTAGGAGGAAATAACATGGAAAATATATCGAACTCTATATGGAGATTAAAACAGTAAGTAGTAATGAAGTTTTATTATACAGGGTGACAATTTGAAAACGAACAGTATTTAATATTACCTCTACCGATGATAGTATGAAAATTTGGCAAAAAAACCTCAATTTACATATCAAGGGAGACAATTTTTGAGGCATTTGATGTCGTGTTAGTTTCAACCCTTTGACCCCCAGGGCACCTACCCCTAAAATTTTAAATGACAACCCCTATTTTTTTTACCATTTTTGTGTTCCTTATAAAATTCTCAAAAAAAAATGCAATTTATGTAGAATTCTATAAGAAACACAAAAATGGTAAAAGAAATAGGGGTTGCTATTTAAAATTTTAGGGGTAGGTGCCCTCGGGGTCAAGGGGTTGAAAGTAATACGACAACAAATGCCTCAAAAATTGTCCCCCTTGATATGTAAATTGACGTGTTTCGCCAAATCTTCATACTATCATTGGTAGAGGCAATATTAAATACTGTTCGTTTTCAAATTGTAACCCTGTTTATTTACTATTTATACTTTTTTTTGTGAATATTAAAAAGAAATAATATATTAATCTAATAAAAAGTAATATAAATAAAATATTTTGTCTCTGATCGTCTTAAAACCCAAAGTATCAGTTAAAATTTAAAAAGAGTAGGGGAGAAGGGGGCAGGTTCGGACATGGGGCACCTCCGGACAATTCAAATTTACCGCCAAATAATAATTCTAGAATAACCAATCCCGGCCAATCACATCAGTGTATCATTAATAGAAGTTGCAAGAAAATTATGTTCCGATAAATTGCAAATTGCAAACGTTATATGCCAAAGTGTTGATAAGTCGTTTGTGCTATAAGGTCAACGTGTCTGCTAGTAAGGTCCTGTACCCAAGTTTTGAAAGTCAGGTAAGATTAAATGATTTCACTAGAAAGAGACCTGATTTTTATGTACCTAACCTCACAAAAGTATATTGGTTTCGCATGTTTGTAGATATTGTACTAATAAAATGCAGTCAGGTGCACCTGGGGCAGAATCGGACAATTGATGTGGGGCAGGTTCGGACACTGTCCGAATCTGCCCCATGTTTGTGACAAGGATAAAACGTGAAATTATGGTATTTTCTTGTTTCTTTGTTTATTCTATCGAGTTATACCAGGTTCTAAGGGCTGTAAAAATACTTACCTACATTCCTTTTTATTTGCAGGATGGTGCGAACGTACAAAAAAAAACGACCCAACCGACCAGAAATTCCAAGTAATGTCTTAAAAGACGCAGTACGAAATGTAATCAACAAAACCATGTCTCTAAGAGCTGCTGCCATTACATTCAATATACCGAAATCCACACTCTTCGATAGTGTCGCCAAAGCTAAGAAGAGGCTCAACGATGACGCCAGTGATTCAGGAAATGAGGGTGATGATACAGCAGAACAGGACAGTGTATCAAAATACGCCACACGGCAAGTTTTTTCTCAAAATGAGGAAGCTGAGTTAGAGTTGTATCTCATAAAGTGTTCAAAAATATGTTACGGGTTGACATATAAACTTTGCCGTGAATTGGCTTTTGAATACGCCACTAAGTTGGCTAAAAAATGTCCAAAAAGTTGGGAGATTAACAAAACAGCAGGGATTGACTGGATGCAATCTTTTATGAAACGTCATCCAAGGCTTTCCAACCGCAAACCCGAAAATACAAGCATAGCAAGAGCTTCGGCTTTCAACAAAACTAATGTGGACGAATTCTTCAAAAACTATGCAGAAGTACAGGCTAAATACAGTTTTTCACCTGACCGTATTTGGAATATAGATGAAACAGGTATTACAACTGTTCTCCAAGCACCGAGAGTTATAGCGGAAATAGGTTCCAAAGCAGTTGGACAGTGTGTATCTGCCGAGCGGGGATCTCTAGTCACAATGTGCGGAATAATTTCAGCAGTTGGTGGGTCAATTCCACCTCTTTACATCTTCCCACGTATCAGAATGAAGGATCAGTTTTTGTACGGTGCTGTTCCAGGAGCCGTTGGATTTGCTGAGAAATCTGGATGGATGTCTGCGAATATATTTCTGAAATTGTTAGAGCATATTAAGACACATACAAATTGCAATCCCTTGAATAGGATTCTGATCTTGATGGACAATCATGAGACACACGTCTCCCTAAATGCCATTTTATATGCAAGAGAGCATGGAATTGTATTGCTGTCGTTCCCTCCGCACTGCACCCATCGGATGCAGCCCCTGGACAAGGCAGTGTTTGGTCCTTTCAAAGCCAAGTGTAAGGCATCTTTCAATGACTTCATACTGTCAAACCCTGGTAAACCGATTACCATTTATGATGTTGCTAAGTTGACAGCTCAGCCGTATTTGCAAACATTCACTCCTTATAACATTATTAGTAGTTTTAAGAGCACTGGGTTATGGCCTATCAACTCATTAGCATATACAGATGACGATTTCTGTGCCTCGTTTGCTACAGATCGTCCCGATACAAGCCTTGTTGTTCAGTCCAACTTCAATAATGAAGTGCAAGACCATGATGTGGAAGCAATGGCCAGAAATATTATTGAAGACATTGTAGATGAAGCTACCAAACCAAGGATTAAAATTCTATCCATGGTGACTGTAAAGCCTATTGATGTAAAACCATTACCTAAGGCTTGTCCTCGAAAAACTACCAGGAAATCTAGAGTAGGAAAGTCAAGAATATACACCAGCACTCCTGAAAAGAACAGAATTGATGAATTGGAAAGAATAAGACAGTTGAAGCTGAAAAAAACTGATACTAAGAGAAAACTGGTGTCAGAAATTACAGAAAAGAAAACACAAAATGGCAAATCAAAGAAGAAGAAATATAGGACTAAACGGCAGGTTCTAGATGATATTTCTTCCTCTGATTCTGATACAGACATGCCATCAAATTTCATAGGCAAGAGCTTTAAAAACGATTTATCTGATTCTGACATCGACTTAGATTTTGAAGATAACAATGGCCAGATTAATGAACTTTTGCATGATGAAAAAATCCTTGAGAAGGACTATGTGTTAGTGAAGTTCGCGACAAAAAAACGAGTAGTACATTATGTTGGAAAAGTAGTTGAAGTACTAGGAGACGATGAGTTCCAAGTGACATTCTTGAAGAAGTCACCGCGGGGATTTGTATTTCCACAAATTAAAGATATTTCTACTGTTGAAAGAAAGGATGTTGTGTCAAAGTTGGCTAAACCCTCAGCAACACCAGGAACATCAAGGATGGCATCCTATCTTCAATTTAATGTAAATTTTTTTGGTTACAATGTTCAATAAAATTATAAATACCTACTAATTTTGTATTTTTCTTGTTTAATAATTTTAATTTTGAAAAGGTTCTTAAAAAAATAAACTTGTCCGAAACTGCCCCGGCCACGTCCGAAACTGCCCCATCATGGGGCAACTTCACAATTACATAATTTTACAAAACATTTTTTTTTATAAAAAATTATTAAGTGCTTTGATTAGATTTCACAGGACACTATGAAGTGAACATAGCTCTACTCATCATATTTTTTGCAAATCGTTATGTAAGAAATCAATGAATATACAGCAGTTTGAAAAAAGGTGTCCGGACCTGCCCCCTTCTCCCCTACCCCAATCGAATTGTCATAATATAAGCGAACGCACCAAGCTAGTGCGGTGCTGCCACCATCGGAAAATATTGTAAACAATCGGTATACCGGGTGCGTCTTAAAAGTGGATCACCCCTATAACTTTTTTATTTTTGCAGTTAAAAAAAAAGATTTGGTATGTTAGTATATGACGTAAATTAGGTTTGATTGACGTATTCAATTGTTTTCGGTCACTTCCTGTTTCACCGGAAATGACTACAACTTTTGATGTTTAAATGGCACCCTCTGTATTTTTTTACTTTATTCGATAGAAAATGAAATTCTGAATAGAATGACATATCATATGTCAACTTTTGACATTTTTGCATAAGGTTTATTTGAAATTATAACTTGCAGTTCGTAACGAAAATCTGACTCGAAATACCAAGTGTGTGGTATCAAATTATGCGTAAAAAATGAATTTTTCCAAATATGCTAATGAGCCACCCTCGCTCAATTTGAAAAAATATGATAAAAAATACGATTTGGGCATTTTCTAACTGGCCAGGACAAGACACTAAAACCATTAGACGACCAAATCTATTTTTCCAAGGCTCCTTGATCTTAACCAAGGATCTTAATCAATTCTTAATTAATTCTTATCTCATTTCTCCTTGATCTTAATCAATTCTTAAATTAGTGTTTTTAACATAGCCATTGCTACTCTACAATTTTAAAATACAATTTTTTATTAACCGAGAATGTCAAAAATTGACATATGATATGTCATTAGATTCAGAATGTCATTTTCTATTGAATAAAGTAAAAAAATACAGAGGGTGCCATTTAAAAATCAAAAGTTGTAGTCATTTCCGGTGAAACAGGAAGTGACCAAAAACAATTGAATACGTCAATCAATCCTAATTTGTGTCATGTACTAACATACCAAATCTCGTTTTTTTATCTGAAAAAATAAAAAAGTTATAGGGGGTGAGCCACTTTTGAGACGCACCCGGTATACAAATACACGGGTTTAAATAGGGAGTACGTAACATTTGTTATATAATAATTATTCTAAAAGTATAATATGTGAAAATTCTAAAAATAAAAGTAAAAAGTAAATATCTTGATATCTTCAGAATGTCTAACTTGAATTATAATTTATTATTCTAGCGAAAAAAACTTTTTAGATGTGTTTAAATACGGTAGCAAGCATAGTTTTACGCACCGGTTTTGTTAGTAGGGTCATAACTGGGGCTATTTCGGCTATAACGAAATTTTTTAAAGGTACATAATTATAATTTAAGAAGATGTTTATAAAACATTTAAGCATTAGTTGATTAAAAAAGTATTAATATTGAAAATTATATTTTATCCTCTCATAGTATATGCCTATTTAATTTTTTGATGATGTAATGAGCACTTTGTTTACTCATTTGTTTCGTCGAGCTGCTTGAATCCATATTTGCTTTTGATCAAGTTGGTGTGAGAAACTGTCAAACTATAAAATATTGTTTCGGGAGAGTTGAATATCTGAGAAAGTTGAGTTATTGAATGTTATTGCACCCAACAACACCCTAATTACGCGTTAACATTTTTTCGGCAAATAGATTTTTTGGAGTACGGGGCTACAATTATAACATTAAAGTAAAGAAGTACCTATGCAAACCTCAATATAATGACAAGTTCAACAAAGATTAGTTATTTACCTATTATTAGGTTTATTTAGGCATTTTTATCATCTGATTATATTAGTCCATTATATTAGTTGTTATAGTAATATTACTGTAATAATAGATAAAATAGATAACTAGAGTTAAGTGGAAGAGCAGAGATATCTAAAGTCTATATTTGAATATTTGACCATTTCTCTACTATCTATATTATTTGTATTGATTATTTTTAGTATCAATACCTGTTTTCCAAATTACAAATCGACAAAAGATAAATTGATTTTATTAAAAAAATAAATAAAATTAATAATTTTTTATACAGGGTGGCGCCTCTCATACGCCGCCGAGGCTCCAGGGAGATCGACAGTTTGTATTGAAATGAAATTTTGTGAGCATATACAGGGTGATCCGAATTGTATTCCTGAAACTTCGGCAGCATATTCTGCAGATAAAAATAAGTAAAAAAGTTCGTATAAATGTATGTCCTTAAATGCTTAGTTTCGGAAATACAGGGTGTAGAAGTTTCATTTTTATTTTGATTTTTTCCAAATAATTTATGAAGTAACATCAATATTTGGATGAAAATTAGTGTATGGGAGTTTTTTGACATGAGAAATTTGATTTTGATGTCAATATGACTCCTACTAGTAGAGGGCGCCACCTACATATTTTTTGACTGGTTTGAAGAGTAATAACTTTCGTCCTTACCTGTATAAAACTACTGAGTAAAAAATATACAATTTCGAAGTTTTTTACGTAAAAAATGTCTCTGGGTAAAAATCGCTACTATAGTAGTAGTATTGGTTTTCGAGATATTTGGAATCGAAATTATCAATACCTGTCATCGTTGACATAAATTAAACATGATCAGTTAGCCTGGGCCAAGATGTCAAGAAAAAAAATATATAAAGTTTGAGTACCTACTTTATTTTTTAAATGCCGATACCACTGGCTTCAAAAAAATATAAAAATTTAAATCGCCGACGTACAATTTGGGGTCTCAACAAAAATTTAAAAAAAACTTTTTCAACCAAAGTAAAAAGCGCGCAAAAAGTTTTGTTAATAATAAATAACGACCATCATCGCCAAAAGGTATGCTTACTGTTGCCCCCCTCCCTGTTTCTAAATCCAGGAGGTTGGGTCTCTGCACAAATTTAAATAAAAATAGACTATAATCTAATGGAAAAAGCAAAAAAATATTTTTTTTCTAATATTTTAGTGATAAAATTTTACTTTATGATCATAAGTATTAGTAAACAAGTAAAACTACAAACTAACAATTAAGGAAGTACAATTAATAACTTTAACACACACTGAATTTAGACTAAAAAGGAAGAAAACAATTAGGTACTAGCTATAAGTAAATAAATAAATTTTAAACATGGTTACTGTTGTAGGAAGCAACTCGTCAATAATGGCATGTATTGACTGTTTCCATTCTAAATATCTTGAGAACGGTTACTCGTAGCGATTTTTACAAAGAGATATTTTTTACGTAAAAAATCACAGAGATATTTTTCCTCTCGGTAGTTTTATACAGGTATGGACAAAAAGTTATTACGCTTCAAAACAGTTAAAACACATGTAGGTGGCGCCCTCTACCAGTAGGAGTCATATTGACATCAAAATCAAATTTCTCATGTCAAAAAAACCCCAGACACCCATTTCCATCCAAATATTGACGTTACTTCAGAAATTATTTGGAAAAAATCGAAATAAAAATGAAATTTCTACACCCTGTATCTCCGAAACTAAGCATTTTAGAACCTACATTTATACGAACTTTTTTACTTATTTTTATCTGTAGAATATGCTACCGAAGTTTCCGGAATACAATTCGGACCACCCTGTATAGGTTAATTCAAAGCACTTTTTGAAAATATAGAGAGTTCTACAGGGTGTCTCCCAAAAAAGTTACATATCAAAGTTGTGTTTTTTGTAATGGAATACTTTACCCAGTATAGCCTAATACGTAGTTAAATTAAGTATTGTTCTTTAAATCAAATTAAAACTTGATTCAAAAAGTTATACAGGGTGAGACAAAATTAATATTGAACATTGGTCACCTTTAAAAGCATGTTACTCTTTTATTTTAAATGGAACATCCAGTATATTATTCCGGTATTCAGTGGAGAATTAATGTCTCAAAATTCAAAATACTATTAAGGTTGCCTACCCCTCAAACAAAGATTTTCCTAGATATTTTCATTTACATGACTAGACCTGAGTAGATCTTTATTATTTGATAAAATCTAGGTGGTTGTGATATGTCTGACGTTACTTCAATATAGTTGTCTAATTAGTCCAACTTGTCGCACAGCCATATCATCAAAATCATAAAAATTAAAATATCTAGGAAAATCTTTGTTTGAGGGGTAGGCAACCTTAATAGTATTTTGAATCTTTGTTGGCGAGGTAGGCAACCTTAATAATATTTTGAAGATATATAAATGCCCCATTGAACACCGGAAAAATATACTGGGTGTTCCATTTAAAATAAAGGAGTAATTTGCTTTTAAAAGTGACTAATGTTTCATATTAATTTTGACTCACCCTGTATAACTTTGGGTCAAATTTCAGTTTGGTTTAACATACCTATAATGGTTACAACTAAAATTTAGGTAGCTGTTATGGAAATTTAAAATTTACTCTTCATTTTCACAAAATATGAAATATTGTCATCTTTAGATTTTAGTTGTCATCTTTAGATGTTTCTTTAATAAAACTCACCTTTATTTTTTTCCTAGAATCCGAAAATCAATTAATATATAGGGTGGTCCATTAGAAAAAAAAACAACTTTGATATGTAACTTTTTTTGGCGATACCCTGTATAATTTTATACATTTTTATAAAATGCTTTCAGTTGACCTACGTATGTTGCTAAAATTTCATTTCGATATAAACTACCGTTCTCCTTGGAGCTTCCGCGGCGTATGAGAGGCGCCACCCTGTATTACCAAAATTCCATGTAAATCTTTGGTACATATTTAATTTAACTATTCGACATCGTTTTTAAAGTAATTAAATTTTATTTTCAGCTTACAAGTGTTATCCCTAGGCGGAAATAATATTTCGGACGTGCCCTTATCAGTAGGTCAATTGAAAAACCTTCAAGCATTAGTCCTTTGTGATAACAATATTGAGCTGCTTCCGGCCAACATAGCGAATCTTCATAATTTAAGGTCGTTGCTCCTCCATAAAAATAAGTTAAAAACGCTACCTCCAGAAATAATAGCTTTGCGGAATTTATCAGAGGTAAGTACTAGAGTAAATATTAAAATAATAAAATTTTCTGTATCTTTGTTTGGATTTGGATACTAATAAGTATTTTTAACACAAACTTACTAAAAGAACAGATAAATTATTTTATTATATGTATACTTATTTATAATCATGTTGCCTTTTTTCGTCGAAATGATTAGTTATTTAGTAAACATTGTTTATACTATACTGTGTGTTGCATCGCTGACGTGGCCATAGGAAATTCCATGTAAATTTTAAAAATAATGATAAAGTTCCCCATTTTACTTTAGAAAAAACCTTATTTAAAACTTTTTAAAGAACTCTTTAAAAAGTTTCAGATCCTGGTCAAACAAATCACAGTTTATGTCACAATATGGCAAATATATTATGATTTTCTCCTACAGGATCTGTCAAAGATATCCTAAATTATATTCTCTATAAACATAATAGAATCTTTAAAAAATTAAATATACCGGGTGCGTCTCAAAAGTGGCTCACCCCTGTAACTTTTTTATTTTTTCAGATTAAAAAAACGAGATTTGGTATGCCAGTATATGACATAAATAGGAATGATTGATATATTCAATTGTTTTTGGTCAGTTCCTGTTTCACCGGAAATGACTACAACTTTTGATTTTTAAACGGCACCCTCGATATAATTTTACTTCATTCGATAGAAAATGACATTCTGAATAGAATGATATATCATATGTCAACTTTTGACATTTTCGCTTAAAAAAATCGTATTTTAAATTTCAATCTAGAGTGCCATCGCTGCGTTAAAAACACTAATTTTTAATCAAGGAGCCTTGGAAAAATAGATTTGATCCTCTAATGTTTTTCATGTCTTTTCTTGGCCGGTTAAAAGATGCCTAAATCGTATTTTTAATTTTATATCAAGTTTTCGTATTTCGTATCTCAATTTTTTCAAATAGAACAATGGTGGTTCATTAACATATTTGGAAAAAGCATTTTTTACGAATAATTTGGTACCACACGTTTGGTATTTCGAGTCAAATTGTCGTTATGAACCGCATGTTACAATTTCAATTTTTACAATTTCATTCGCATGTTTCAATCCTCGCAAGGAAGACTGGGAGATGGCCAAGCTAGTAATAACACAAAAAATAAAATGGGCTATTTACACCTTTCAGCCTTATAAAACAGCAGGAATAGATGGGATTTTTCCTGCCCTTCTAATGAAAGGTCAGGAAATAGCTACACACCATCTATTAAAAATTACAAGAAGCAGTTTAGCGATGGGATATATACCAACCATCTGGAGAAGAGCGAAAGTAATCTTAAGTAAAACTGACTGGGCTAACCCCAAATCATTTAGACTTATTAGCATCACATCGTTCATATTAAAAACGATGGAGAAAGTAGTGGACAACCATATTAGAGTAAATCATCTAAAGGTTAAACCACTGCACGATAGTCAGCATGCATATAGAGCGGGCAGATCCACAGAAACTGCTCTGTACCAGTTAACTGAGCTAATACAGGCAAGCGTGGATAGCAAAGAAATAGCACTTTGTGCCTTCTTGGACATTGCAGGGACCTTTGACAATATACCTCACAAGGTGGTCAAACGATCTCTTGAAACAAGAGGGGTGAACAGTACGATAATTCGCTGGTTTTTGGGAAATGCTCTCAACACGAACAGCAGAGGCTGAGATAGGTATCAAAACTGTAGTTGTTAAAACAACGCAAGGAACTCCACAAGGTGGAGTGATCTCCCCCCTACTGTGGAGCTTGGTAGTGGATGAACTACTGGAAGAATTAACTCTAGCGGGAATACACTGCATATGGTATGGAGATGACATAGTCATCATTGCACGGGGGAAACATGAAGGCACCCTGTGTGATATTATCCAAAGAGGACTCCGCATCGCTGAGAAATGGTGCAGAACTGTCGGGCTGAGTATCAACTCAGATAAAACCGCGGTAGTGCCATTCACCAGAAAGCGAAGTTTGAAAAACTTGAAAAGAATCCATCTAGATGGAAAGGAAATACTGCCATCACAGCAAGTGAAATATCTGAGAATAACCCTGGATAGTAAACTTCTCTGGAACAGGCATATTAAGAACATTACCAGCAAAGCCACAAAGGCCCTCATGATATGCAGAAGATTGGCGGGAAATAGGTGGGGCTGCGCCCCTAACATTTTGCGCTGAATGTATACTATGATAGTAAGACCCATGATTACTTATGGAGCAGTTGCTTGGTATACAAAACTAGAGCAACGTACAACAAGGCAAAACCTGTGCAAAGTACAGAGACTAGCATGTATCTGCATCACAGGTGCCATGAGAACATGTCCAACAGCAGCAATGGAGGTCATTCTAGATCTAACACCACTGCATATTGTCGTCGGTAGTTATGCCAATGCGACAATGATTAGAATGGTCATTGACGGAAACCGTACTGGGAGAATTTTCAGGTCAGGGGCTTGGAACACCCTCAAAAAGAAAATTACACTTCTCCAACTCCAACAAAATTTACAACTTTGAGAAACACCTCACTCATTGTAGTCTGTAGTATTGAGTAATAAAAAAGATTGGAAGAAAGAAACGCTTACTCAGCATATAAAAGACCATACCATAACGTGGTATACTGATGCTTCCAAAACCAAAGCAGGGACAGGGATAGGAGTATTTGGGCCGAAAACTAAATACTCCGAACCAACTGGCACCCACCCCAGTATCCTCCAGGCAGAAATTTACGCAATTTACGCTATCGAAAGATGCGTACAATTTATCTTAGATAGAAACTATCGAAAACAGGAAATTGCCATCCTATCCGATAGTCAAGCAGCACTTAACGCGATCAACTCAGTAACCATCAATTCGAAGTTGGTCAAAGAATGCCTAGAGAAGCTCAACAAATTAGGTAAAGAAAATAAAGTCCACCTACTCTGGGTGCCTGCTCACCCAGGGATAGAAGGAAATGAAACAGCAAATGATCTAGCTAGGAAAGGAGCGAACACTCCACTAACTGGACCAGAATCGTTCTGTTTTCCAAACGGGAACCAACTGAAAGCGGAACTGAAGAATCTGGAAGACTCCATCCGTAACTTGGAATGGGTGTCCTCCAACGGTCTAAGACACTCGAAAAAGTTCCTCAGAATTTACGACCGAGAAAAATCAAAGGTTTCCCTTGATTTAAGTAATAACAATCTTCGGATTGTCACGGGGTTTCTAACAGGACACTATCTCCTCAACGAACAACTCTGTAGGCTGAAGCTGAGAAACAACGGCAGATTCTGTGGGGAAAATGGGGAAACACCCGAACACCTTATCAGTGAGTGCGCCGAGACGACGACCATTCGTGCCATGAACTTTGGTACGGCTGATGTCGAGGATGGAGAGCTGGCTCAGTGGGGCCGTCTCAGATACTGGCTACTGGTGTGATGAGTTATAACTCGTTATAACTCAAGACAGGGGAACACACAATAGATCTATAGGGTCGCGGTGATTAACTCCCCTCCTAAACATTCTACATTCTACAAATGTAGGATGTCTAAAGTTGACATATGATATGTAGTGATGGGAAAACTGCATGAAAACCGATTAATTTGATCGCTCGAGGGAAATATCGCTCGTATTTAAAAATACGCTTTTTCGCCCGTCGCGCGTCGCTTGTTGTAAGTGCTCCTTAACGCCAAGCACAAGATACGCAACGGATAACGTCGTATAAATTTGCTACCTGCAATGTATGTAGAAAATTCGCTCGGCTTTTTATCGAGTATATCACATTAAAATCGGATTTCAATTTATTTCATTCTAGGATCGCTTGCGTTCGTCGCCCGTAACTCGTCACTTGCATCGCTCGTTCATGATCGAGCGATGTCGGTTATTTCAATAATCGAGTACTCGAGCGAATTATCCCATCACTAATGATATGTCATTCTATTCGAAGTGTTATTTTCTATAGAAAGTAAAAAAATACTGATGATGTCATTTAAAAATCACAAGAATATGTCAATCAATCCTAATTTATCTCATATACTAACATACCAAATCTCGTTTTTTCAACTGAAAAAATAAAAAAGTTATAGGGGTAAGCCACTTTTAAGTCGCACCCTGTATTACGTAGATAAATAAACACATTGTTTGAGACGATACGATTCAATACGAAACAATACACAAATTTAGAATTATTTAGAACTCGTTAAATTGTAACATGAAGAAAATGGAGAAATTGAAAGAAGTTTTTCCATAACTCCAAAAAGAATTCGTAGAAGCAATTGAAAATGAACAATTTGCCTCATTTTAAAGTTCTTTAAAAAGTTTCAAATTCATTTATCTGTAAATTAAAATGGGAATCTTTTATATAACGTTTTTGAAATTTACATGGGATTCCCTATGTCCCTATATTACGATCCGCGATGCAACAGACGAGACGGTATAATACAATACTTATCATATTTTATTTTATTTATAGCTTAGTCTAAGGGAGAATCCCTTAATTGTACGCTTCGTTAGTGATATACAACATCAACCAGCTAGTCTCCTTGAATTATCTGGCAGGGCATTGAAATTGTACAATATCGAGGTTCAACCAGGCGATATACCCACCACTCTACTGGGTTATTTAAATTCCGCTCACAGATGTGTAAATTCTAACTGCAAAGGTAGGTTATAGATTAAACAATAATGTATTCTTGTAACGTACGAATTTATAATACAATTAGCCTCGACGGTGGAACTCAAATTAATTGCCGTTTGATCATGGATTTTTAGATGGCCGTCAATATATTTGATCAAGACATTAAGAATTTTAACTTGTTCTCAAAATTAACCTCCATTTTAAGCCTTAAATCCAGTATTTCATACTCTGAACTACTAGCATTCTAGTGGTATATTTTATTGAGCTTGATAATCATAAGATCTGAACGCGAGACATATTTAACTCTCATATATGATTTTTGAGACATGGTTATTCCGTTTTATTAGTGATGTTTTATTTCTCAAAAATTAATATTTGCAGACACATTTTATTGTTACATCTGTGTCATATCGAATGATTCTGCTCTTTATACTGTCACTTTTTTGTTCACCTTTTTTAAATTATACAACCAAACTGTCATTGTTAAAAGTTGGACAAAATAATGTGCTCTTTAATTACATAAAAAAAGTAGCACAGTAATGCGAAAATCGCCATCTTTGTACCTCTACTCATAAACGAGAAACTCTGTAAAACACGGGAGAAGAGGACACCCTGTACAGGGTGGGTCAAATTCGACGTTTTTAAATGGAAACACCCATTTGTATAGGAGATAGACGAAAACTAATATCGGTGTCTGGAGCTCAATTTTCATCAAAAACATGATGGTGAAAACCGCACATCAATATCTGTTACCGTTTCGGAGTTACGGGGTGTTTTTCAAAAATGTGCATTTTTAACATTTCGCTGTAACTTTTTTGCTATGGAAAATTTTGTATTTCTATGAAAACTTTTCCAAAGCATCTTTTTACGTAGAATTTAATGGTTTAAGTTTATTTTTTTTAAATTAATAATTTAAGAGTTATCAATAGAAAAAATACATTTTTTATTTGGGACACCCTCTATATTTTTAATTAACTGAAAATAATTTAAAATTACCTTTCCAAAAATATAGCACACTTGATATTTTGTTATAATCCCCTTCGAAATACAGAATTTTTAAAAGTTACCGTTTTAACTAGTAGGCTTTGGACCCCTTATTGATGATATGCCCTTAATGGAACTCGAAAACATATTTTTTCAGCAAGACGACGCACCGCCTCTGAACGCTGAAGTTATCAGCAAATTTTTGCAGGCAATTTCGAGAATAATTGAATAGCTAACCAAGATCCCAGCCGTTGGCCGTCGAGGCCGCCTGACTTAGTGCCCATGGATCTAATCCTATGGAATATTTGCGGAAGAATAAATGTTCCTTATTCTTCCGTATAATCTAGACAAGAATTAGAAATACTTAGCAGTTATGAGAGAGTATCTTTCACCCCCACTGAGTTAATGAATTCCGCGAGAAATGTTCAAAAACTGCCCCGTCTGTCCATAACAGTAGACGGTTGATATGTTGAACACCTGTAGCAAAATCTCATGTCTTGGTTTGCTATTTATATTTATTGTTATTAGATATAGTTTAAATGTGTTGATGTTGGTTAAATATATTGTAGATTGTTATAAAATTATAATGTTTACAAAAAATAGTATGTTCGTTTTAATTGATGCTCACAGCTAGAATTTTTTTGCATTACAGCCGGTGCCGTTCAAAACCTACTTATTTAAAGCCAGGCGAATTTTTATATACTCTATATCTCGAAGAGGAATCGAGCAAAATATCAAGTGTGTTATATTTTTAGAAAGGTAATTTTAAATTTTTTTCAATAAATTAAAAATATACAGGGTGTCCCATATAAAAAATCAAATTTTCTGTTGATAATTCTTAAATTATTAATTTTAAAAAAAATATACTTAAACCATTATGTTCTACGTAAAAAGGTGCTTTGGAAATGATTTCATAAAAATACAAAATTTTCCATAGCAAAAGACTTACAGCGATTTGTTAAACATGCACATTTTTGAAAAACACCCCGTAACTCCGAAACGGTAACAGATATCGATATGCGGTTTTCACCATCTTGTTTTTGACAAAAATTGAGCTTCAGACACCCATATTAGTTTTTGTCTATCTCCTATAGAAAATGGTGTTTCCATTTAAAAGCGTCGCATTTAACCCACCCTGTACATATGTTAGAGAAAAAATATAGTTCTACATAAATTCGTCTAATATAAAAAGTTATTTTATTTCTATTAATTTTATTTTTAGGAGTTTTCTTCGACAACAGAATAGAACACGTGAAGTTTGTAGATTTTTGTGGAAAATATAGAATACCGCTGCTTCAGTATTTATGCTCGTCCAAATGTGCAACAATTCCAGCCGATGATGTTATAAGACCCCATAGAACTTATTTGATGAAAAAAGTGCTACTTGGTTAGGTCATTTATAAATTATAAAACAGAATAATTATAAGAGGGGTACTTTATTATAATAAGTATTGCTTTAAGGAGGAAATCATATTTATAGATTTGTTATTTGTATTATTATTTGAAATTTATATAAGTTAGGTTATAATAAATTTTTAGTTAAAGTGTTAAAGTTAGTAAAGTGTGATATAAAAAAGAATTTACTGGACTAAAGAAAGGTGATATACGAGATTAATAAACGGGTCAATAAGTATTTTTTTGTATATTATACACCTTATTTTAGTTGCACCACCCTGTATAGTATTTGCCCTGTGTCATCATCTATTTATTAATATAAAATGGCAAAAAGTATAGCAGCGATACGAGATAAAGTCCCTTCAACATGGGATGTATGACAGCGAGACTTGTCCGTCATTTTAATTCACAAGTAAATTGTATTTTCTGCCATTTTTGGGATGTTATCTGTTGAAATCTTCCCCAACGCGTTGGACAGATTTTATAAATAGATGTGGAAAATTTCAACCTACATTACGCTGAGACATGGCTGAGACGGTTTTCTAATTTTGACATTTAAAATGATATTTTTCATAATCCTTCTTCGGTTTTACCGGTTTGAAAGATTTTTCATTTCGCAACTAGTTACGAAATAATTTTCTTTCGCAACTACCTAGTGATGAAATAAATGATACTAAATGATAATACCTTAAAAATAGTGATGGGATAACTCGAGCGAAAATTCGCTCGAGTACTCGATTATTGAAATAACCGACATCGCTCGATTATGAACGAGCGATGCAAGCGACGAGTGCCAAGCGACGGCGACGAACGCAAGCGATCCTAGAATGAAATAAATTGAAATCCGAATTTAATGTGACATACTCGATAAAAAGCCGAGCGAATTTTCTACATACATTGCAGGTAGCAAATTTATACGACGCCGTATATACCGAGTGCGTCCTAAAAGTGGCTCACCCCTATTACTTTTTTATTTTTTTAGATAATAAAATGAGATTTGGTATGTGAGTAGATGACATAAATTAGGATTGATTGACGTATTCAATTGTTTTCTGTCACTTGCTGTTTTACCGGAAATGACTACAATTTTTGATTTTTAAATGGCACCCTCGGTATTTTTTTTTACTTTATTCGATAGAAAATGACAATCTAAATAGAATGACGTATCATATGTCAACTTTTGACATATTCGCTTAAAAACAAATTGTATTTTAAATTTCAATCTAGAGTGCCATGGCTGTGTTAAAAACACTAATTTTTAATCAAGGAGCCTTGGAAAAGTAGATTTGATCGTCTAATGATTTTAGTGTCTTGCCCTGGCCGGTTAAAAGATGCCCATATCGAATTTTTGATCATATCATAATTTTTTTTCAAATGGAACGAGGGTGGATCATTAGCATATTTCGAAAAAGAATTTTTTTACGAATAATTTGATACCACACACTTGGTACTTCGAGTCAAATTGTCGTTATGAACCGTATGTTACAATTTCAAATAAACCATATGCGAAAATGTCAAAAGTTGACATGTGATATGTCATTCTACTCAGAGTGTCATTTTCTACCGAATAAAGTAAAAAAATACCGAGGGTGTGATTTAAAAATCCAAAAGTTGCAGCCATTTCCGGTGAAATCGGAAGTGACCGAAAACAATTGAATATGTCAATCAATCCTAATTTATCTCATATACTAACATACCAAATCTCGTTGTTATATCTGAAAAAATAAAAAAGTTATAGGGGGTGATCCACTTTTGAGACGCACGCGGTATATTTATCCGTTGCGTATCTAGGAGACAAAATTTTACTACCTACATCGACAATGCTTCGAAATAAATTAAATCAGGCGATCAAGCGAATCGCTCGCCGCTTACTACTTGCCGTTCATTACCGAAAGTATATGTGCCCTGCGTACGCAGCTTACTGCTTGGCGCTCGGCGTTAACGAGTACTTACAACATGCGACGGACAAAAGACCGAATTTTTAAATACGAGCGATATTTCGCTAGAGTGATCACTCGGTTATTGCAATCGCTTGATACTCGAGTACTCGATTATTGAAATTAATCGGTTTTTCCTATCACTACTTAAAAACCCAAAAAGATGCATTTTGTAGATCATTTAATACAACATTAGGCCCGCAACGACTAAAGAATACAAGGACTAATAACACCCGAGAATCAAATTGTTACCATACTTCCAAACAGTGCCGTGGCACATATTTTTCTTAACATAGCTGCTTAAAGAGATTAAGAGTCTTGTGGTAAAATAAGAGAAGGTACAAAACCAGTATCGACGTATAGTACATATCAAGTACATATAGCATCAAAAAAATAATTATCGATTTTAATAAAAAAAACGTTAAAAAGGTGGGTGGGCTGTTTATTTACCTATGAAAAGTAACTCCTGGCTGTTTCTTATCGCTGCAGCTTTTACACTTGAAAGCTGAACAACTAATCACCATTGTAATAAAGTTTATACAAAGTTCACTACACACAAACTATTAAAAATCACTAAAATTGTCGCTGATGACCTCGATTCGTTATTTTTTTAAGAGTTTTTTAGATGAAATTCATAGTCAAATGCAAACGGTAAGCAAAACGTTGGGAAACACATATTTTGTGTAACTCATGTATATGTAATTATGTAACTAATTAGTTGCATAAATATCCATTTAATCATTCTGAAGGCACTTTTACAAAAAAAAAATATTTGCTTGATTTCTTACTGTCTCAGTCTAAATAAAACGCTACTTTTGCAAAAAAGCTATATTTTCCTACTTTCTTAAAACTGCCTCACATTTGGTATACATAAAATATTTAAAATGAAAATACATCCATACATTGGACCATGCTGTAGATCTGTTTTAAGTAGGAAAACGCCTTAATTAAAACTTATACTAAACATGGAAAATAACTTATTTAAATAGTTTATTTTAAGATCGAATACCAAGTTTTTATCATGTCAGGTGTAACCAAAGTTAAAATTTAAAGTTAACCTGATTTGGCAGATACTTTCATTTTTTCTTCTTTTTCTTCTCCACGCTGGCGTTACCGGTACTGTCATTTTTGCGTTTTTGGCCTGATTTGGCAGCTACTTGAGTTGGAGTGCCTGAAACAATACATTCTATTTAGAGACGTAGATCACAAATTAAACTGTACACAAATAGTGTAGAGTTTAGGTAGCAGACGTTGCAGTCGAACATTGTTCTTTTTAGAACCTCTTTTAGTGCAAAGCGTACATGATAGCTTAATAGCTGTAAAAAACACACTGCAACTTTATTAGAATATTTTGCACGGGAAAGCGGTAGTAATAGGCCTTTATGTCCCTTAAGTTCTGTTAAGAAGGTGACTTTTGTTGATGTAAATAATAACTGTTTATATATTTATAATTAATTTATTTTTGTTTCCTAAAATATTTTGATTAAAAGAAAATATATAAAAGTGGGCAACGCTGTGTCGGTCAAGCTTAATCACGTGGCTAAAAGTTTACATGATACAAACTATATACTTTTAAATTAAAATTAGAGACACATCTATTTTCTTCTTCTTCTCGTCTGTTAACTCTCGCAAGAGTATGGTGACATCATGTTTCAATTGCGCGGATTGTTGCTCTCCATCCCCCTCTATCTTAAGCGGCTAGAGAAGCGTCGTGCAGACCGTGACCAATAATTTCTTTGCTTTGGTTCACCCAGCGCGTTGGAGACCTTTCTCTTGGTCGTTTGCTATTAATCTTCCCCTTGATTATGATTTTTTCCAGTTCATCTGTACTTCTCGAAACAGAAGTACCTACCTAGCTTAGGTTAGGTTAGGTTGCTGGGGTTTGGGATCATGTTTGATCCCTCACTCGGAGGCCTTGGGCCCATTGCGATACCCCTGTATTGTTGTACCAAACCTTCCTCTTATTCTTTCTTTGCGTTAAAGCACTTCCAGCTCTTTGCATAGTTCCCGATGTCGCTGATGTTGGCTTCTGCTGCTTCCTCTAGTCCCTCCAAAAAACTTTGCCCTAAAGTTTTAAAGCGTCAGTATTCCAGTGCCGGACAGTGGCACAGCAGGTGCTCTATGGGTCTTCTTCCTCCCCGCATTCTCTGCAGTAGTCGTCGTTGGTTTTACAAACTGTAGCGCAGTCTTTATAGTGTTGCCACGTCTCTTGCTGCATAGTACAAAAAAAACAGCGCTTTTGCCGGTTCTATTTTGTAGTAGGTATATTTGAAATAGTTTTTAAATAATAAGTGGTAATAGTAATTTTATTCTGCATTTCCATTTCCTATTTTCCATTTGCTATTTTATTTACATTCATGTAAATAAAATAGCAAATCCCAGAAGACAATACTACTGAGAAAATTCATAAGGTTAAGTAATGAAATAGAAATTTAAAATTTGTACTTCTAGTCTATACAAAATAAATTAGGATTATTACGAGAAAATTGTGACAACATCGTAAAATGCAAGGAAGTGTTTTGCTCGCATTCTTTCGACCTCCCTTCATTGGGTTGTCAGACTGTACCTACCTAAGGTAGGACTGGTTTATTGTCCATTGAAAGTCTTGTGGTAACTTTCAACTGCCTTAGAATTGAGACGAACGTCTGATGTTTTGTGTATGAAATTCGCAGCATTCTTTTGTAGACCCACATTTCGAAAGCATATATTTTTCGTCTGTTTGTAGTTTTCCAGGTCTCCCATGTGTAGAGGCCAAGTCTCAGAAGCATAAGTAGCGATAGGAAAGGTCAATGTATTTACTAATTTTCATTTGTTGCACTAGGATATAGTAGAGCTTTTCCATTTATACACATCACTGTCAAGGGACAGACTATAGCAATAAAATATAACAAAGACCACAACACTTCAAATATCAAGGCAACTAAATGATTACACCAGATTACACGCGCGGTTAACAAGATGAATGTGTTAAGAATCAGGATAATATAAAACTTTGGAATAGATATTTTTTCACTAATAAAACAAGAAAAATATATTACCTGGTACTTGTCCTGATTTAGGCGCTTTCTTTTTCTTTTCGTTCTTCTCTCTTTCTTCAAGTTCAGCGTTTTCCCTCTCAATAAGGGTAATTAGCGTATTACATCGCCTTTGTAATTCCATTGCAGTCCTCGACTTTAAGAACCAATCAAATCTAAACTGCGGAGAAGCTCTAACTGCAGCCCTTAGTTCTTCATAAACATTTTCTCTGCAATACAAAAAATAAATATGTTAAAAAAGATCTCCGATTTACACGTCATCAAATATAAGTTAATTATAGTAAAAAAAAAGAACCAAGAAATAAACTAACGAGATTCAAATGATTTTGACGTGCAATTGCTTTTAAGAAAAATGTATCAAACTTTACCTATCAAAACCCAATTTGTGTAACATGCACACTAAAAATCTGTCCTCTTCTTCCATGTAGTTCTTTCCTTTGTTGTTCCCATAAGCTATTCGGAGTTGATGGAAAGGAGCGCGATATCTAAAAGTAAATATTTTAACTTGTAAGAGATTATACTAAGGGCTGGCAAAGGTTAGTTTTGGGTCGAGATTTCCGTATGTAAAAAAAGTACAATGCGTTTATAACGTACTGAACAAAGAGAGAATGGTAAAAACGTTTCCAAACGTATGAAATAAATCGGGAAACTGTGCACATTGCTAAGAAACGTGGACGAGGATATAGCAGATTCGTCGCGGTCGACCCAATCACTACAAAAAAATCTAGGGAAGGGTGTAAATCATGCGTTCAACTTCACGATTTAATTACGTCTCGTGATACTTTATTTGTTAATTTATTAAGGAGTCGTTGTAATTTTCCCTACAGCTCGTAAATTTTTAAGTGCAAGTTTGAAACACTGACATTTTTGGTTAAAATAAGTGGAATTGAGTTGGTGTTCGACAGTGGTCGCGCTATTAGAACTTTGAATTCAAAACTTTCTTAATATTTCTGCTATATTTTCTTTGCAGACAGTATGTGAAAATCTTAATAAATAAAAAAAGTTACAGGATTGCTAAAAATTGCTATGCACTAAAAGCAAATGGATGTTTTTTTTAATTTTTGAATGAAAAAAAAACAAGCCTATCGAATTTTTCTTATTTAAATATCTTGTAAAAGATACGAACTTCAAAATAAAAAAAAGTTTCAATATCTAGAGTAGTTCTTGAGTTATAGCGTGTTATGTGTTAAAAAGTTGAGTTTTTAAATTATCGTGATTACTGACGGTTTCTCGTTATAAAAAAATGGACACCCTAACGATATCCTTATAATTCCATTTAAGATGCTCAGAAACATATACCGATCGGGACAGGTCAACTCTGCGGGTTGGATTTTAACGTGTAAGACAGTGATGTAGACAGCTTAATGGCAAATCAAATGTATTAAAAAGAGAAAAAAGTCGGGTGGGTATGGGTGGGTACATTTATTCTGAGCGGTATTGCCGGATTTTGCATCAAAATTTCAAACCGCATAAGTAGACGTTTCAAAAAAATGTTGCATCAGGGTTGGATCTGGATTTTCGACAATTAGTTACTCATTTTACTACAACTGTAATAGATTACATTTAGCTTAGATATATTATCTTCATTTCAGTAGTACAGTACATCTGCTGGATCTGTGTCTATGAAAGGACAAAAAACATTTAAATAAACAGCAATATATTTTATACGTCGACTTGACGAGTACGTCACCGCAAATCGCTCCGCCCACTCATTGGCCACTTGCAAATTTGTCGAATTTTTATTGATGGGGCGCGTTGTCTAATTTTTTACGAAAAATATCGAGAGAATATCGTTTCCCCTCTCACGGATACCGCGTAGCTAGAGAACGAACAGACGTACTGTATACATGAAAGTTTTTAACATAGTTTATTTTATTCTAATTTATTTAAGGCTAAGATAATAGATTTATACCGGATCGACAAGAGAAAGGCTTGGGCAGGGCCGCGTTAAGGGGATTTGGTACTTTAGGCACCATTTATTTTGCCGCCCCCTTCAACTAATAAAATTCAAGTAAATTTTGTTATTCAGCCTGCCGCCCTAGGCCTATCTTGCCTAATGGATAAAGCGGCACTGGTCTTGGGTCAGCATTTACGGAGGGAGGGGTAAACCGCTGGTGTATTTTGGTGTACAAGATGTTGACATTACTTGGTATTAGTAGTATTAATCGTGGTATTAGTTGGCATTTTTTCCATTATACGTGGTATTAGTGTACAGAAATTTGTCAGCGGCTTACCCCTCGGCATTTACCTACATGTGTACAAGTGAATCCCTATGGCGATGTTGTAAATCGGAGAGAAAAAAATCCAAAGTTTATTATATCCACTTAATGCGACGTTTTACTTCATGCGCTTGGGAAAATTCTTACTCTTCTCTCTTATATCGTATTGCACTGAACACATTGACTGTACTCTTCGTACACACGACAATTACTGTCCTCCATTGACGCAGTTGTGCAGCTCTGAATAATCTATCTCTCTGCTAATCTCACTCCATCCAATTGAGTCATAAAGTTCAGAACTGTTCCGCGCCATATGGACGCACGAGGCTATCGCGCACAGCTCCTTTCAGAACCATTCTCAAGTAGCCCAGAGCGTAAAGCTCTGGAACTTGAAATACGCAAATGGAGGACAGCAAATCGGCACCCAAAGCCGTGTGTACGTATAATTAAATAAACTAACCGTAAAACATGCTATTACTTAATCACGTATATCCGCAGTTACTTAATAAGACAGGTAATCAATTAATTACATAATGTAGTAAATAGCGCAAATTCTATTGTCGACCGATCCGACTTAATAGGTAATAAACTTCGCATTCTTCTCTCGTATTATATAGTCTTTTCTCTCTCAGTATATCGTATTGTACTGAACATGTTGACTGTACTCTTCATATACATGACAACTGGCACCCAAAGCCACGTATTATTAAATATAAACTAACCTTTTGGTTAGTTTATTTATTGGTTATTTTTTGCTTCTTTATTACGTTAGTGACATCCGCAGTTACCTAATATGGCAGATAATCAGTTAATTACATAACGTAGTAAATAGCGCAAATTCTATTGTTGACATGTCGACCATTGCAATCAGTATAAGATTATGTATTAAATAATTATAGAGGTGTATATGATACATTGATGACAGACAAATGATTGATTATATTGTTAAGTGCTATAAACTAGTACAAAATTAAAAAAGTAATTTTTAAATAAAGTTAAAGTAAGTTCTGGAAAATATATCCACATTACTATTATTAATGATAACTCTTATCGATTTATAATTGGGGATAAACATTGCCATGAGTCATCTTTTTATTACTTTTGTCAATTTTCTGCAGACGGCTTATAAAACACAGGCACATAAATTTATTGTCAATTCAATTTGATAATTTGATTATAATATGTTCTTCAAATACCATTTCGGTATTCATACAAAACGGCTTTTTATTACATCTCTGCCGTACTTATCCATCAATAAATATTTCTTACATGTTAGAATAGAGCAGGCCCTAAAATTAATAAATTTAAATTTATTTATCTCTACTCATCCTTGACTCTGATGGACCTGACATTATGGCCGCTGACAAGAAGGAGAAGGTGGGCGCTGCATTTCAGTCATAGGCGTACTTAAAACTAAAAGTTTTTATAGATATATTCAGAATTACTAATTACTCGTTGTCCATTATTATAGACATAGAGGATTACAAACAGCATTAAAAAGGCTAAAGATAAATAAAACTTTATACTGATAAGTTTTCTGTACCAATATTAAACAAAACAGGTAGTAGGTATATTTCATACTATAACATTATGATAATGTAATACCATGTAGAATGTAGAAGTTAAGTAACACGTAAGTAGTAACACTAGTTACACCACCCTGCAAAAATTCAATATTATTATAAATAAATCATTTATTTCACATCCCTCAAAAGGTAGCACAACAACCATAAATATACAAATGTATAGTTTTTATTTAAGTGTTACAGTAAGCTATACAGCATTATAATAAAGACCAATACTTACCATGCACTGATACGGTTCGTCGATAGGTCGATTTGTTGCGCAAACGCGTCCGTGCGATGGGTTGTGCGGCGATTTGACAGAATATCGATTTTTGGGCGAACCATTAAAAGAAATATACCGAACAAAATAGACGAACTAACGAATCGCATCCACGAACCGCATGGTGAAGACGTTGCGTAAATATTTGTAATCGTTGCGTACTTAAAAAATCGGCCAGCTGACAGTAAAGATAGAATATGTGAGAAATAAATTGTTAAACTGTTTCCGTCTTAAACTTTGTCAGCTATCATAAAACGATTCTTATAAAAATTCTAGTAAATTAAATTTTACAGAATTCATAAGTAAAACTTTTAAACTATAATTGGCTGTAATACTATATCTAAATGGAAATAAAATATTAGTACGCCTATGACTCAAGAGTTTGATGATCTGCCTTTCTCTTGTGAGTTTTTTGTAGGATAATTAGGGTATGCACTGACATGTAATTTTTAGTCGGCCAACTTTGGACTTGGTTGCAAAAGTGAAAACAATACATTCTTATAGAGCCGATCGGCCCAATATTTGATTACATTGCGTAGTCTTAGGCTATGCGCTGACAGGCAATTTTAATCCACCGACTATTTAGTTGCATATTTGTAACCAATGTATTCTTATGGAGCCGCGCCCACGTGCAATCAAATAGTCGGCCGATCGACTTCATAAGTACGTATTGTTTTCACTTTTGCAACTAAATAGTCGGCCGACTAAAAATTACAGGTCTGCGCGTAGGCTTGTTTTATCGAATTTCCCTCCACAGTATCCGTACTATTTAAAATCGTAAGTCAGGGAATTCAAAATGTCTTGTTTTTCAAATTAATATTTTTTTAGAAAATATGTGATAAGTTTTGAGTAGTTTATTTTTTTAAATATATGTAATTTTTCTTTATTGAGATTTAAAACAAAAATTCTAACCAGAAAACGAAAACTATTCTAACTAATGATATTATTTGAAATATGCTATTAATTATGCAGAGGTTGTTAGAAGAAGTTTATCTGGCAACACTGAGAGCAGTCTCGAACTGTCATCGGCATCGGAGTCGATTTGTGCTCCCACCATGCTCATTCTTAATCCTGCCTACACGTTTACGAACCGGCAACACTGTATCCCCTCTTTTATTTTGCGTCTCTCTCTGTCAACCGGTCAATTGTATTACTCTCTGTCGTATCCATTAAAATCCTATACACAGTAATTGGATGACCCGGACGGTATAATGATTTTAAAAAAGAAGAATGAAAGAAAAAAAAATGTCTTCCTCTGAAAGAATAAAAATATACAGAAGGGAGTGATTTTTGAAAAACACACGGTATAGTAGTACGAGAGCTAGCAACGTCGGGAAAACAAGTATTTTAAGACGTCTGGCTCTTTGATATATCTTTTATTATGCTCTCTGGAACAGCGTGCACGCCGTCTGGCTGCTGATACACGTTGCGTTCACTACTGCGCATCCAAAGAAGATCTTCTATTTTTTACTTAGCGGTTTAAATTCTAGTATTGGACAAAAACCGAGCAAGTCTCCATTAGCTCGGCGCGTAGAGCTTTCGCCTATGAAACGAAGGTCAGTAGTTCGATACTGGCTGGGGGTGCAAATTTTTTATTTTTTTTTTCGTTTATATTCTGATAGTAAAGTAATCAATATTTGCTGACACTAATATTAAATAAAAATATTTAATTCAATTATAATAATTAGATTGTAATGATTTAAACATAATGTCTAAAAATAAAACTTTAAATGTTGGCCATAATTTTTTCTTGCCTCATTCATAAAAATATTTAATTCTTTTATAATTTCATTTTAAAGATTTAAACATAATATATAAAAATTAACATTTTAATGCTTTAATAATGTAATTTCTGTCTGTCTTTCTTCAAAATATTTTTTTCAGCTGTTGTTTATTATTTTAATAATCATATTAATAATACTCTTTTTTAACATATTGTTATCTAAAAGCTACACAAGTTTATTTTCAGTTCAGTTTGTTAAGATAACGATGGAAAACAAAATGATCTGGTTAAATAAAATAAAATAAAATAATAATACAACTTTTTAAACAAGATTGATTAATGTTAATGTGTAGAAAATGCGCAAATCTATGCGTAGAATATTTAATTACATAAAAAACTAGCAAAGTAATGTGAAAAAAAAACGCATCGTTGTACCTCCACTCATAAACGAGAAATCCCAAAAAACGCACGAAAATGAGACACCCTGTACCCATGTGATACGCAGTAGTGAACGCAACCTACCGGCGCGGCAGCCAGACCATCCTAAACCTATCTAATAATTAATTACCACAATAATCCTTCAAAACAAATGAAAGTATCAAATTCTACTTATATACACTACGGATCATAAACCCATAAACGCCATCCGTTCTGGTGATAAAAAAAACAAATATTTTATACTTTACTATCAGAATATAAACGAAAAAAAAAAAAATACTTTCTCGAAAACGTTGCTAGGACTATAGTGTTTCTTAATAAAATATATCAGACGTTTAGTTTGCTACACCACTAGCCAATAATAGACCACTTCCCTGTACTTGTTATAATACTAATCTTAACTACTTACCTGGCCATTTTGGCGTCTAGAGCTCTCTTTATGCTGGCTCGCCTCTGAATCTTCGCTTCCCCGCGTTCGATTTGAGCCATAATTCTATCAATGTCCTGTAGTTCGTGGCATCTTTCCCAGAAAACGGCCGAGTATTCCATAACTTCTTCGGGAGTCTTTCCTTCGACGTCCCTAGCGATGTTTTCAATGTCATCGCGCCCGTACTTCTCGTTAGCTTTGATGAATTGATTGAAGTCTCTCTTGCTCCAATTAGTAAATCCTGAAATTGAAATTTACAATACTCAGTATTGTAGTTCTAATTCCTTAAGATCATTATTAAAATAAACGATATGTCAGCAATTATATAATTTGCCGTCATGACAGTTATCACATGACAAATATGTTAGTGTGTTTCTTTGTTTTAGGCATGTTGAAGAACGGATCTCGTATAAATATTTTATTTATTTTAAAAGATTCATTTAAATTAAAAACAAACAGTTGTTGCAAACTCATTGATACACTCAGTAGGATGACCATTTCTAAAATGACACCGTTTATATCAATAAACGAAATATTTGACAGGATATGTTATTTTTGATAATATATGTATTAAAATATTAAAAATCTGTTTTAATGAATGTGTTACCTTAAAAAATGAAAAAAAAGTTAAAGGCTGTTAAAACTTGAAAAAAACAAAATGCAAACATAGTAAAGTAATAAAAACAAATGTTCTAACCCATACAGGGTGACAATTTGAAAACGAACAGTATTTAATATTGCCTCTACCGATGATGGTATGAAAATTTGGCGAAACACGTCAATTTACATAGGTATATATGTATATACGTTGATATTAGCATATTTAGAAACAAAAAATTATAAAGTTTTGATATGTTGAGGTTATTCGTACTAAAAGGAGACTTTTTAAAATCAAAAGAGTTCCTAACTGTAAAGTGTGAGCTTCACCCCCAATACTCACTGCGGGGGGTTTTCTCGTTTTTCTCGAAAACCATTAGTGGCACAGAAAATTTTATTCTTGTCAAAAATATTCCTTATAAAATTTGCTACAAAAAAGGTTCTATTCATTATTTATATTTATCCAATGCATTTCGAGCAATAACCGTTTGAAAAATGCAGTACAAAAAAAATACAGGTCGCCTTTCAAATTAGACTCCCAAGGTATTTTAACGTGCTATATATACATGCAACAGATATAATACTGTATAATATAAACAAACACATTGCCTATTCCACTAAACTAACATTCATACTTTCATCTACATATTGTCATCGTCTATAGTTTCTAGGATGTGTTCAATATTCGAACAACTTTGTCCACGACAGGTTCCGCAAATAGTTGTACATTTCATGTCGGCTTTAATGCAACTGCATCTTTTGCAGTTGCAACACAATCTTGTTTGCTGATGTTCAAATTATTCGTACTGCCATCAAAATATCTGAGAAAAATGAACAAGTTCTAGTCATTGGAAAAGATGTCGATCTTGTTGTTTTATTAGCAGCACTTTCCCCCGATGAAAAAGGCATTTTTTTCTGAAAGAAGCCATAGGTAATGTGAAACAACGAATGTATAGTTCGAGAGACTTGCAATCATCCAGTATTATACGTAATTTAAAAAAAGCAATTTTATTTATTCAGGCTATTAGCGGGCGTGACACAACATCAGGATTTTTTGGAAAAGGAAAACAACAACACGTACAAATATTTAATAAAGAAAAAGACCTTGATAGTATAGTCGATATTTTTAACAACGCAAAGTCAACATCTGAAGAAATTGAAAAAGCTGGAGAGATGTTTCTATTGGAACTGTACAAACTTCAATCATCTGAAGGGAGCCTTGGTGAGCAAAGATACGCTTGTTTCAATAAGTTCGTTGGTCAAGCAAACAGCACGGTACTTCTCGGAGAACATATCTTCAAGTAGAAATATGGTAAGAACAACCTATAAAACCCGACCAGTGGGGCTGGAAGAAAATCTACAATAGTCTTAGAGGAACACAAAAATGGTAAAAGATATAGGGGTTGCCACTTAAAATTTTAGGGGTAGGTGCCCTGGGGGCCAAGGGGTTGAAAGTAACACAACAAATGCCTCAAAAATTGTCCCCCTTGATATGTAAATTGACGTATTTCGCCAAATATTCATACTATCATCGGTAGAGGTAATATTAAATACTGTTCGTTTTCAAATTGTCACCCTGTATATACTCAGTAGGGTGTCCGTTATTTCCCAAGTTGCCGCACTCTGAAGTTTTAGTTTTGGTCTAAAAAAATTATCTAATGTAAACAAGCTCTTAGTTTTTAATTTAAACCGTGGAATCATGATACTTTTCCCATTTAACATGCGATTTTCTGACCTTTTGCATTTAATTTTTTATCTCCAAAGCAAATGAACCTACAGCTTCGACAAATACATATTCTAATACAAAATTTTACGCTCTGCAAAAAAGGTCTCTTAGTTTTTTTTCATAAAACCATTCCTTTAAAAGTTATTAGCGGTCAAAGTTATGCACATAGTTTATAATCAAATTTTTTTATCATTATTTACTGCAAATTTTAATTGCGCCTTTTGAATTCGTAAATGCAAAAGGGCCGAAAATCCCATGTTATTTAAATGGGAAAAGTATCATGATTCCGGCACGATTTAAATTAAAAATTAAGAGCTTGTTTACGTTGGATAATTTTTTTTAGACCAAAAACCAAAATATCAGAGGGCGGCAGCAAAAAAAATCAACTTGGGAAATAACGGACACTCTAATCCTCAGTATATAAAAAATAGATTTAAACTCTACAAAATTACCTTGAGTCAGCAGAGTTTCTTTTTCCTGTTGCTCCTCTTCGGTTAAAGCTTCCGATTCGTCGATTTTTCGTTGTTCCTCTCTCTGCTGTTTGGTAGCTTCCGAACCCAGCTCTAAATTCTTAGGAACCTTGTAGCCCAGAGTTTTTCGATAATAATATATTTCCTGGTCGAGTAGTTCAAATAACCTGGGAGGAAAGAATTGAAAATCTTGCACCATCGGTTGTTTTGGTGGACGTGGAGCTTTAGGCGCTTTCGGTTCGGATACTCGAAGAGCTTCCCTAAAATTTAAGACATTAAAAAAATTGTGTGTGCACTATGTGCGCGTATTTGAAGTCAAACAGCTATTAAATTGAAGGATTTGAAGGATATATATTTTTTTATGAATGCTTTTTTATAAACTTATATATATATAAAATTAGAGTATAAAAAACAGTATACTATTCTAGCCATAGACTTAAAATAAAATATAGACTGAGCATCTCATTCATAAATAGCTGGAAGATGCGGACAATGTCTTGTTATTGTTTTAGGCTCTAACGAGTGCGACACGAGCGATAGATAGGTTGTCTCCGTCGTAACGGTCGTTCCCTGACGACACTGACGAGGAATGCAACACTGTCTTTCGTTCCTCAGTACACCTGAACTCTCCGTACCATAGCCGGGTAATTTTTTTATTTTAATGAAGCTATAATTCAATTAAAAATATATCGTATTTAACTTTTTTATGTTTTATTAAGATTTAGGAGAGGTTTTTTAAATAAAAGTTTAGAAAAAAAAACGTCCAAAAGCGATAAAAATAATAAATAACATGTTATAGAAAAAATTTTAATATATATAATCTATATATAATTTTGAAATTAATAAATTAATTATTAATTTTAGTCAAACATTTACAACCCTAATATTAATCAAAACAGGATCTATTCTATAGATATAATAGAATCCGCGACATGGAAAGAGAAAAAACTTCATGATTGTTCTAATTTTTTTTTCTGTGATGTCTTATTATGTAATATCTTATATTAGAGAAAACAGAGATCTGTTTCATTAAAGCATGCTTTTAGGAAGTGGATAAAATGAAAACTACATTTATTTCACTCGGTACTGTCTTTATTATACCGGCTGCGTCCCAAAAGTGGCTCACCCCCATAATTTTTTTATTTTTTTTTAATAAAAAAACAAGATTTGGTATGTTAGTATATGACATAAATTAGGATTGATTGACATAAGGTTTAATTGAAATTGTAACACGCGGTTCATAACGACAATTTCACTCGAAATACCAAGTATCAATATATTCATAAAAAAATGCTTTTTCGAAATATGCTAATCAGTCACCCTTGTTCCATTTAAAAAAATTGACATATGATTAAAAATACGATTTGTGCATCTTTTAACCGGCCTAGACAAGACACGAAAAACATTAGACGACCAAAACTATTTTTCCAATGCTCCTTGATTAAAACTTTGAATTTTTAACACCGCCGTGGCACCCTGGATTGAAATTTATAATACGATTTGTTTTTGCAGAGACAATGTCAAAAGTTGACTATGATATATATGTCATTCTATTCAGAGTGTCATTTCCTATCGAATAAAGTAGCAACATACCGAGGATGCCATTTAAAAATCAAAACGAAAACAATTGAATGTGTTAGTCAACCCTAATTTATGTCATATACTAACATACAAATCTGTTTTTTTATCTGAAAAAATAATAGAAAGTCATAGGGGTGACTTTTGAGACGCACCCGGTATATTAAAAATATTGTTTCATAATGTAATATCATTTTAAAATCCTTGCATGTTTTAGATTCTGAAGATAGTTTTAGGATAAAGTGGAATATATTTTTAATAAAAACATGATTAATTTTTTCACCGATGCCTAATATAATTTATCTTGTATATATAACAGGGTTATAATTATGATTTTGTTACAAAAACCTTTATATAAATGATTATGTAATAGAAAAAATTCAGATTTTACATTTTACTAAAATATTATCTAAATAAGCGCTTTTCTACAACAACGCCACTGACTCCCAATTGGTAAATTGAGAGTTGCCTACCGGTCGAAAGTCGTTTCGAGACTCAAATGGATCATTTAAGTCAAATTTCTTGAAAATTTGGCACTGGCAAACCATATTTTATAGTTCTTGAATACAAAAAGTAAATAAAATAAACATTTAAGGACTACAAACTAAGAAAATGCAATAATTCAGCTAGAGAGAAGTAGCGGCAACAATGCTTTACTACACACGTGCGATGCGTACTACAAGATAATAGAAGAATGAATAGGCGACCTCGCCTCTAATCGGTGTTGTCATATTGTAAAGGATTTATCCTTTTTACATAGTATTCGACTTATAATAAAGTAGTATAAGGACTATTTAATACATCTATGGAATATTATAACCTACTTTATTAAAATGCAGTATTAATATCTCAATATATATGTATAATAAGTAAAAAAATATTGATAATATTAAAGACGTGACAACATAGGCTGGACGAGGAAGGTTTGGTCGGCTGCGGTCGAGTGTACCCAGAAGTAAGCGTGTACAAAAATGATTGTTTGACCGCGTGTAGATGTAAATAGTGTAGTCTATATTTTATTTTAAGTCTATGATTCTAGCTTCAAAAGTTTATAATGTTTTTTTATTTTTTTTTCTATCACTCGGCCGGATAGCCTGGCAGCTGTGGCCATTAAACCAAAATACTACTACATCTACACTCAGATACAAAAAAAACGCAACGGAGGAAATTTTGGTCAAATTTAAAGTGTTATATTTTTGTTATCTTTAGACCTATTTTCATGAATTTTTTAGCAAGCCGTATATAATTATATCAACTTTAATTCATAAACTCAGTTTTTTATAAACTTTAGTATTTGGCGCATTATACAGGGTTAATCGAGCGGATGTTTTTTTACCCTAACTTTAAAACACCCTGTGCAATAATTTCGTGTGTAAACTTTCCTAAAATATAATTTTACGGTCAGAACGCTGACTCCTGGGCATTTTGTTTTTTGGGTCATGTCAATACATGCCTTGGTTAATTTTTAAGAGTGAAACGAACTTGCCACCAACAATTTGCAATTTTTTCAATTATCATCTCTTTTTGAAGTTATTTTTCAATATGGCAAGGCGGCTTTGGTGATTATTGTGAACTATATACTACTATGAACCAGGGTTGGCATGATTTAAATCAAATGATTTTTTAAATTTTAATCATGTGATTTAAATAAAAAAATCAACTTTTTTAAAATTTTGCAATAAATAGAAAAATAACTGTAATAGATATAAAAATGTGTCCTAGAAAACTATAAAAAATATTTCTATAACAGATATACCCTATATCTATTCATTATATTGATAAATGTTTAAATATTTTTAATAAATCGAAAATTAATTCTAAATGTTATAAAACTATATAAAAATGATTTCTCTAACACATATACTTATTACATATTTATACATCAATTAAAATGCTGGATCGATTTTTGAAGTATTTTCGTGTGAATCCATTAGATTTCTAAAAGGCAGGGATTTATTTTGAAATTTACGGACAAGTGACAAAAAAATGTTGTTCGAATATATTTCATTCGCAACCTCCCTAGAAAAAGATTCTTTTGATGTTAGACTATATCTTCAAATCATTGTCAGAAAATATGCAGTATTTTACACTTTGACAATAGAGAATACTAATGTCATTCTCGACTTAAGACTATTTCCGAAAAATAGTGTATTGAAGAACCAATTGTGTAAGGGGTAAAAACGACGAGGTTGTACTTTGACGACTAGCGTAAATAGGGAGGCACAAAAGTACATTTTTACTCCGAGTAGAATACATTATATTTTTTCAAATATTACAAATAATTTTTTAATCAATTTCAAGCGTTGCAAATAATATAAAAAGTAATACGTTTTAAGTAATCGCGAAACAATTTGTATACTCGTTGAAATTGACGCTTAAGATCAGTTTAATAATATATTTATGTACTTTTGTGCTTAGGTGCAAAAGTGTTTTACTTTTATGCCTAGGCGTTGAAATGACAAAAATTAATACTCTTGTGACGTTTCAAAAAAAAATCCTTTTGATCTGAAGCGAGCGACTTTTTTGCGGAATATATTGGTGACTGAAAAAATGACACGCGCTACGCCCCGTAAAATTGTTTATGTTGTCAGTATCGGGCAGACTTATGAAGATTTAGCCATTTAGGACAGGACTTTAATTGAAATTAAGTCCTGATTATTTGGAAATCCGATTTAAATAATGTTTTCTAAAAAATCTTCTTAAAATCAAAAAAATCTGATTTAAATCAAAAAAATCTGATTTAAATAAAAAAAAAATTGATTTTTTTTTATTTTTTTAAAAAATTCATGATTTTTTCCAACCCTGCTATGAACTGCCCATTATGTTCGACGTTTGGGAAATGCTTGGCAAGAACGTTAGAGGTCGCGAGGCGGTACCAGCTTCATTAAATTAACTTCGCTTGGTCCTTAAAGAAGAATGGGAAAATATAACGCAATGTGATATATGCAGCCTCGTTTACAGTATAAACGGACTTATACAGGCAGTTATAGCAGCCAAGGGAGACAATACAAAGTATTAGGGTAATTTTTACAATTTCTTTTTCAGTTTGTATACTTGAGTATTACAGATGTTTTCTTTAATATCGTTAGTTCTGTTATCGTTTATTAAAACCCGGACTGTATCGTTAGTCTTTAACGTTTTTTTTTTAAATTTAGTATAGAGTATCCAATGCAGCGTAATATGACGTTACGACAATAGTCAATAGTCACCAAAACCATCTCGTCATATTAAAGACTTACATCAAAAAGTAATGATAATTGAGAAAAAATGCAAATTGATCGTGACCAGTTCATTTCACTCTTAAAAATTAATCAAAGCATGTATTGACATGAATTAAAAAACAAAATGCTCAGGAGTCATGGTTCTGATTGTAAAATTATATTCTTCGAAAATTTACGCACGAAATTATTGCACAGGGTGTTTTAAAGTTAGGGTAAAAAAACAACCCCTCGATTATTCCTATAATATGCCAAATACTAAAGTTTATAAGAAATTGAGTCTACGAATTAAAGTTGATATAATTATATACAGCTTGCTAAAAAATTCATGAAAATAGGACTAAAAATAACAAAAATATAACACTTTAAATTTGACCAAAAATGTCTCCCTTGCGTTATTTTTGCATCTGAGTGTATATCTCTGACTACTACTAACAAGCTACTAACCAACAATTTGTTTTGTGTGGTCTTTTTTTGTTTAAATATTTTGTTCATTTTTCATGTTGGGGATTTTAAGCAAATTATAGAACATGGATTTCTTTTGCATAATCAAAATTGTCACTTTCTTTGAAAAAAAAAGACCAAGGAAGGAGCATAATGCTATCCATGTATTCATGCATGGTGGGCGGAAAAAGGACTCTATGGTGGGGATCCTTGACAGTTCTGTTTGACGATTCATTTGACACATTTGAATTTGATTGGAAATTTTGTGGATTTGTCTTTACGGAGCTTATTTTATGTTATTTATTATTTATTCTACTACTGATAGTTGTATAAAGGTAGTAAATCTAGATGGAAATTGTGGCAGATCTTAAATTTACAGTGACACTATTGCGATTTATCGAAAAAGACTGTAAAATAGTTGGTTGTGTAGCGTGCGGTAGATCTCGGTCAAAAATCGAGTGAAATAATGAACCAAACCAAACCAAACAACTTTTCGTTAGTAAGTGACTATATAAAATACATACGTGTAGTAAACCGATCAGTTATGAAATTCACTTAAATTAACTAATTATACATTTTTTCTTGCATTTTTGCTTTTATTTACTACTTGTCAAAGATTAGATGTCAAAGAATTTAGATACGTCAATTTGACTTACCTGGTTCAGTAGCGTATCGGATGTTTGTGTGAATAAAGAATTATTATAACTTATCTATTTTTATTAGAATTATATATTTTTATAACTATTTTAATAACTACCAACATTTATTCACAACGTAAAATAAAACAACAATTTCTTGAGTCTAACCCACGTCTACCCTACATCATAGTTTTACACTTTTTAGATAAAATTAGAATGGCACTGATAAACCGGAATTTAAGTCGGCCATATTTGAGTTCCTTCGCGGTGGAAGATTTTTGATATGCTCCTTTCTTATTCTTTTTATTCAAAGGTCACTCTAAATTTTACATAACCAAATTGCCACTCTAAATCGCTGTCGTTTTTGACAGATGTCACTTGTCTTGTCATTATTCGAATTCTCAGAATGTTGTTAACAAAAGTTTCACCTTAAAATAAAATTTTAATCAATCACAATTGTTTTTCTCCAGCATTTACCGGATTAATAATACAGAAATTAAAGATAATTCATTATTTATAGCTCAGTTACAAATAATTCATTATTTATAGTGATTTATAGTAATTTTATTAAATTATACGAATATTCTCGTTGATTATTAGTCTGAAATAAATATGACAGTGTCCTCCAATGAAAATGCGAGTTACTAATTCTAAATTTGATGCTTCCAAAACCAAAGCAGGGACAGGGATAGGAGTATTTGGGCCGAAAACTGAATACTTCGAACCAATGGGCACCTACCCCAGTATACTTCAGGCAGAAATTTGCGCTATCGAAAGATGCGTACAATTTATCTTAGATAGGAACTATCGAAAACAGAAAATTGCCATCCTATCCGATAATCAAGCAGCACTTAACGCGATCAACTCAGTAACCATCAATTCGAAGTTGGTCAAAGAATGCCTAGAGAAGCTCAACAAATTAGGCAAAGAAAATAAAGTCCTCCTACTCTGGGTGCCTGCTCACCAAGGGATAGAAGGCAATGAAAAAGCAATTGATCTAGCTAGAAAAGGAGCGAACACTCCACTAACTGGACCAGAACCGTTCTGTTTTCCAAACGGGAACCAACTGAAAGCGGAACTGAAGAATCTGGAAGACTCCATCCGTAACTTCGAATGGGTGTCCTCCAACGGTCTAAGACACTCGAAAAAGTTCCTTAGAACTTATGACCGAGAAAAATCAAAGGCTTTCCTTGATTTGAGTAAAAACAATCTTCGGATTGTCACGGGGTTTCTAACAGGACACTGTCTCCTCAACGAACACCTCAGTAGGCTGAAACTGAGAAACAACGGCAAATGCAGATTTTGTGGGGAAAATGGGGAAACACCAGAACACCTTATCACTGAGTGCGCCGAGACGACGACCATTCGTGCCATGAACCTTGGTACGTCTGATGTCGAGCATGGAGAGCTGGCCTCTGTGGAGCCGTCTCAGATACTGGCTTTTCTTAAAGCCCTGAGACTGTATGATGAGTTATAACTCGTTATAACTCAAGAAAGGGGAACACACAATAGATCTATAAGGTCGCGGTGATTAATCCCCTCCTAAACATTCTACATTCTAACTCTAAATTCTAATTCTGAATTGGCAAATGAGCTAGATGCTTTACCTACCGTTATTCAGAAGCTACAAACCTATCGATGAAAATTTCCACAATATCATGTTTATTACAGTGATTTTCTTAGCCGCGTATGGCACAGATCGTTACCCAGTGTTGCCACAAGCTTATTTTTCATCAGGGTAGATTATCACGAGATAGTGGGACTAAATTGTTTTACAAAGGTTTTTACGAAGTTTCACGGCCTTGAATTTTTACACCCAACGCGCGTAAAGAAGTTTCACTTCAAAAATAATTAATAAAAATTAAAGATATTACCTAAAGTAGGCATCTACTGCGTAATTAGCTTTTCTTTCTCTTTTGGGTGGTTCTATCCAATTGCTAATACCAATAGTTTTTTGTTTCTCCCTGTAATCTTCACCTTCAAATTTGTACACTGATTCTGTAGGAGTATCTACAGTAAAGTTTCTTAGAGATGATTCCCCCATAGTCTCCATTTTTTGAGCAAGTGCCTGAGTCTGTTAAAAATACATTAGTTTCACAAATTATTTAAAATTAAGTTCAATTATTACTTTAACTTCTCCTCTTTCCAAGATGGAATCAATATCTTCTTCGGTAATTTCAGAATCCTTGGAAGCAAACACGTGATTGGCTCCGTGTCTAATCATGCTCAACATTTCGTCTTTGTTCAACGTTTGAGCTTTCGAATCTACCAGTCTACCTTGCTGGATAACTAGTTTATCTAAACGAAGCTTAACTTCAGCTCTTTCGACGATTTTTTCTTCTACTGTATTTTCTGTTATAAACCTAGTTAGATAAGAAACCTTATTAGTATGTTCTTATTTTCAATAATAAACAAGTTCTCACCGAAATACGCGTACTTGTTTCTTTTGGCCAATTCTGTGAGCTCGGTCCATGGCTTGTAAGTCCATTTGGGGATTCCAATCGGAATCGTAGATAATAACAACGTCAGCGGTAGCTAAATTAATACCCAAACCGCCAGCTCTTGTTGACAACATGAAAATGAATTTTAAGCTGCCATCTTCATTGTATTCGTTTATCTTAAAAATAAATAAAATACATATATTAAAATGTTTGAATCTTAAAAACCTTTTTTTTCTGTAGAGAACAGTTTTTTTAAGTGTAAAAATACAGGGTGATTCTTAACTTATACTCATAAAGTTGGGAAAATATTGCTGATGACAAATAATTACGAATAATGAATAAAAAAGATAGTAAAATATTTTTATTTACGGAGATAACAAACTATTTGAAATAAAAACAAAATACGTAAATTCCATTAAATTGAATGTGCGAAATAAAAACAAAAAAACGTAAATTCCATTAAATTGAATGTGCATTTTTTACTGATAAAGTTGATAAATTTTTGTGAAAAAAAAACTCAAATTATTTCAAACATTTTTTTTTTCATTATTAGTCATTATTTGTCATCAGCAATAATTTCCCAAGTTTATGCGTATAGGTTAAGAATCACCCTGTATAAAATATTTTTTTACAAAGTTTTTTTTTTCAGAAACGTAAAATAAACCTATTTCCTTTAAAAACGCTGTTATCCAATAAATTAAGAAACGTAATGGGTTTTCTTTGTCACAGATTTATGTAAGTCTATTCTTTTAAAGAAAGATCTGAGAAGCCAGAGCAACGGCCATGTCAGTATGTCTGAGGCAAATAGTGTAGACAAACCCCTTTATGCGAACAGACAGCAAAATTAAAATTTACACACAAGGCAACACGCGGCTTTTGCCTTGAAGTCAGCATAAAGTGGCAACTAGGCCTACTTGGCCAATAAGAGCTCTTAATTTATGGCGCCATTTATAACTGATAACAAGCCAAATAGGCTGTTTAGGAAGAGATAAGCATGTGATAATATATTAAAAGCATGTTACGCACTGCAAAATAGACGTGGAAATGAAGTGGAAGAAAAGGAAAGTTGTGCACGAGGTGCGTAGCAAAGAATGCAGTTTCATGAAGGTGTAATATGCTTTTGCAACACAAATATTAAACTTTAATAAGTAATGCCACATTATTGTCAAACGATATTCATTTTTTTTTCTAGCAACATGTGTATTTGGTGCGTTTTGCTTACTGTGTGTAATAGGTAAAAAAGCAAAATAAAAAAACGCTTAAAACTTAATAAAAGGTTTTTAAGCAGTTTTCTTGCTTTATAAAAATGTAAAACTCATACTTCTTCAAATTATCAAAGGTTTCTTTAAAAATGTTATAACTGTTAATGATTGTTTAATTTCCCTTATTCGTTCAGTCATTTTATTAATATTATTTTTATCCTCTGTAGAATTTTAAATTTAAGTAAAAACAGTAATTGAAAATATAGCTTGGAAAATATGATTTCTTCTTTTTATTAATGCTTTATTTCTTTTTCTTATAATTTTTTCCATACTTTACGGGTGTATTTATCAAATATTAATTTTAAAATTCTAAGACTTGAAGAAAATAACATGTATTGTGTTTAAAAAAAATAGTATTTTTTCTTGTATCCACCCTCTCTCAGATGTGGAATAGAAAAATATATTTTCTTTCATTTACTGCATTATTATGTGGACTATGACGATATTTTTTCAGTTTGTTTGGAAATAAAAACTTAGGACAAAAAATTCAAAAATGTAGATTAGGAATTAAGAGAAACGCTTTTTGTTTTTATTAAGAATTTTATGTTCCGTTAATGAATTTTTACAGCTAGAAGTGAAAATGGAATAGGCACTTGTAAATCTCTAGAATGGTTGAAAAATTTACCAGGGCAGAGAAAGCCGAAAAAGTTCATAGTAGAACATTCGCCGAAACGACGAAATAAGCAAACACAGTCAAAGCTGTAGTGAGTCTACTAACAGGTAGAGATGGCAAGTAATCGCAAACTGCGATTTTAAAATCGCAATCGCAACCGGCGATTGGCTCTCATAGGAAACTGCGAATGCGATTGTGATTTCTTCTATTTGCGAGTTTCAATTTAGGCAACCAATATTACTATGGCTGCGATTTGCGACTTTGTTGCGATTTTGCTGCAATTATGATTTTGTAAACTGGGATTTCAATCTGCGAGTTTGAATTTTTAGGAGTTGCGATTTACGATATTGCTGCGAATGTAATTTTGTGTCTATTGAAGCATTTTATACTAAACTGCAATTGAATTTTCTCTTTGATATTATAGTCTAAGAGCTAGCAACGTTTTCGAGAAAGTATTTTAAGACGTCTGGCTCTTTGATATATCTTTTATTATGCTCTCTGGAACAGAGTGCAGGCCGTCTGGCTGCCGATACACGTTGCGTTCACTACTGCGCATCCAAAGAAGATTCTCTATTTCTCACTTAGCGCTTTAAATTCTAGTATTGAATAAAAGTCGAGTAAGTCTCAATTAGCTCAGCGCGTAGAGCTTTCGCCTATGAAGCGAAGGTCAGTGGTACGATACCGGCTGGGGTGCAACTTTTTTATTTTTTTTTTCGTTTATATTCTGATAGCAAAGTATTAAATATTTGCTTTTTTATCACCAGAACGGATAGCGTTTATGGGTTTATGATCCGTAGTGTATATAAGTAGAATTTGATACTTTCATTTGTTTTGAAGGATTATTGTAGTAATTAATTATTAGATAGGTTTAGGATGGTCTGGCTGCCGCGCCGGTAGGTTGCGTTCACTACTGCGCATCACATGGGTACAGGGTGTCTTATTTTCGTCCGTTTTTTGGGATTTGGGATATCTGGGATTTCTCGTTTATGAGTGGAGATACAATGATGCGTTTTTTTCACATTACTTTGCTAGTTTTTTATGTAACTAAATATTCTACCCATAGATTTGCTCATTTTCTACACATTAACATTAATCAATCTTGTTTAAAAAGTATTATTATTTTATTTAATTTAATTTAACCAGATAATTTTGTTTTCCATCGTTATCTTAACAAACTGAACTGAAAATAAACTTGTGTAGCTTTTAGATAACAATCTGTTAAAAAAAGTATTATTAAAATGATTATTAAAATAACAAACAGTCGAAAAAAATATTTTGAAGAAAGACAGGCAGAAATTACCTTCATAAAGCATTAAAATGTTAATTTTTATATATTATGTTTAAATCTTTAAAATGAAATTATAAACGAGAAATCCCAAAAAACGCACAATAATGGGACACCCTGTACACATGTGATGCGCAGTAGTGAACGCAACCTACTGGCGCGGAAGCCGGACCATTCTAAACCTGTCTAATAATTAATTACCACAATAATCCTTTAAAACAAATGAAAGTATCAAATTCTACTTATATACACTACGGATCATAAACCCATAAGCGCCATCCGTTCTGGTGATAAAAAAGCAAATATTTAATACTTTACTATCAGAATATAAACGAAAAAAAAAATAAAAAAGTTGCACCCCCAGCCGGTATCGAACCACTGACCTTTGCTTCATAGGCGAAGGCTCTACGCTCCGAGCTAATGGAGACTTGCTCGATTTTTATTCAATACTAGAATTTAAAGCGCTAAGTAAAAAATAGAGGACCTTCTTTGGATGCGCAGTAGTGAACGCAACGGGTATCGGCAGCCAGACGGGCCGCATGCTGTTCCAGAGAGCTTAATAAAAGATATATCAAAGAGCCAGACGTCTTAAAATACTTGTTTTCCCGACGATGCTAGCTCTCGTACTATTATTTATTTATAGAGAAGGTACTATTTTTCTAGGGTCACGATCATAATATACCGGGTGCTTCTCAAGAGTGCATGGTTCACTCCTATAACTTTTTTATTTTTTATGATAATAAACGAGATTTAGTATCTTAGTATATGACATAAATTAGGATTGATTGACTTATTCAATTGTCTGGGCAACTTTCTGTTTCACCAGAAAGATTACAACTTTTGATTTTTAAATGTCACCCTCGGTATTTTTTTACTTCTATTGTTTTGGACTATTGTTTTTCGCGTCTTGTCCTGGCCAGTTAAAAGATGCCCTAAATCGTAATTTTAATCATATCTCAATTTTTTCAAATGGAACGAGCGTGGCTCAATGGCATATTTAGAAAAAGCATTTTTTATGAATAATTTGGTTTGGTAAATATTAAAATCGCAAATGCAGGTTATAGTCGCTGCTATTTAAAAATTGCAATCGCAGTTTCAATTGCGATTGGAAAATCGCAGATTTGCTCATCTCTACTAACAGAGCTTTGCAAGCTGAATAGGCATTTTTAGCTAATGGGATTGACCAACGAAGTCATGTGCAAAAGTTCTGTCAATTTGAGGAAACGACAGAACACATTTTACGTCGGTGCGACAGCCTGGCAAATGTACTGTTCTTTGTACTAGATAATGATAGACAATTGACAGACGGCAATATGAAACGTACAGTCTCCAAGTTCCTTGACTTTTTGAAAAGGATAGGAGTGGAGAATGTTAATTTCAGGATCAGAAGAAAATCACAATAGATCTGAAAAGGTCGCAGTGGATCAGGCCGATAGTCACCTTCTGACTATAGTCACCAATTAATATATATGATTGGCCTGATAATTACTATCAGGCCCACTTTTATGATTCCATTTGTTTATGGCGATTCCGACCAGCCTGCACATATAAGAAATTGACTAGGGCTCTTAAGAGCACCAGAAACACGGGGAAAGAAATTAATGATAAAGGAAACAAAAAACCAATCCTTTTTTGGTACCGAAATTAATTCAACTGGTGTCAGGACGACATAAACCGAGCATTGGTGTATATCGGGCCAAAAAATACCCGTTAAGTTTCTGTTCGTTCGTCTGTATGTGTATTAGTGTTGGCGTTTGGAATCGCCATGAATGTTTGTAGGTATATCGATTAATATATGTTTTGGGTAAGTGGCCAGTTAATTTTATTTTGATATTTTTAAAAAACTGCTTCTTTTATAGTGCCTGAAGAAGAGACAATAAAGTCGAGAAACGTCGCAAAAATATTGTTTCCTTTCGAGCCATCCAAAACACACACGATTTTTTTTGCATTATAAAAATAGTTTTGAATTAAAACATTACCTACCTGTCTTTGTCGATCTTCGTGTGGCGTTTGCCCGTCAAGTCTACAATAGTGATACTGTCTCCAATGGCAGTAATCCTCCAAAATATCCAACATACGCGTCATCTGTGAGAATATCAAAACCCTGCTACCCTGTTCCTGAAGTTTGGGTAACAGTTTGTCTAGTATGGACATTTTGCCGCAGTTGTACACCAGATGTTCGTCGGTGGTGTAGGGCGGACCGGGTTCGGCTCCGTCGAAAAGGTAAGGGTGGTTGGTGCACTTGCGAAGCTGCATCAAAATATTTTGCAGTCGCATTTTCTCCACCTTTCCCGCGCCGTTCACTATATCGATGTCTTTTAGGAGGACCTTGGTGTACCATTCGCGCTGCATTTTACTCAACCCAACATATACTACAAAAAAGCAGAAATATTCAATGAATAAGTATCATCTTGGACTGACATTGTCTAAGGTTTTAATAACGGAATTTTATTTGACGTACATTGTGTTGTAATAGAGAGAATGTTCCCATATAAGAGTATGTATAAGCACAAATCAATTTTTTAAAACGATTTTTTATTGTTGAGTACTACATAGCATAAACTTTTTACAAAAGCAATAGTTTCCTATAGTATTCATAATATTCCCTTATCTACCCCATAGCTATGTATGGCTATGAAACCTGGATACTCATTGATATATAAAAAAACACATCCTGAATATCTAGAAAAAAGTAGTCTTATGAAATCCCATGAAAATCTGGGAAACCCTTTAAAATTCCTTGAAAAAAAGGGAAACTGAAAATATAAAATACCTTTTTTTATACAGGGTATCTCAGAAATAAGTGCAGGTATTTTAACTGGTAGTATATTTCCACTCCAGAAACACGCCTATGAAGTTTTTTGCGAAAAAAAAATGTTGAAAAGTTTATATTTTTCTTGACATTTTGACGAAATATTGAAAAACTTTTGAGTGCCGCTTATTCAGTTTCCGAAAATTTGTTTATAGTGCTTCGAGAGAATGCAATGTAATGCCACCTCCTATGTTATCCAAATTATGTATGTTTATAAGTTATAAGTTTAAATTTTTAAATTCCTACAAAAAAAAAATACTTAAATTAATTTTATTCACTGCAAATAGTCCGGTCAAATTAGACCAAAAAATAAGAGTTAAGGTACATAAATTTACAACAAGCTGAAAATGCGTGTAATTGTTTAAAACATAATTAAAATTAACATTTTAAAATTCCGAATCATTCCGGTGCCTGGAAAAATAAATTATGCGAGGTCAAAGGTCAAAAATCTCGAAAAAAAAAAAGGTTTTTCGCGATTTTCAGCAAAACGGTAAGTTTTCTCATAAAATGACTTCAGACAAAAATTATAGATCATAAATTTCTCTATAAAAAATGTCACAGTACTTATTTTCCTTAGAGCCACTGTTTCTGAGATATAACGAGTCAAAGAGTTGTAATCGTCATAATATTATGCATACGTTTCCACGCCACCTATGAGGTAGTGTCCCTAGCGCGTTTTTTTAACGTGGTTTCCCCAGTAAGCCTATTCCACATGTCTATTGTGATTCTATTTAACTGAAAACTATTTCAGAATATAAGATATTAATAAGGATTAGAAACTATAAAAGCGATGGAAATAAAAAAAAAAATAGAAATTTACTAGGCTGATTCATAACCTTCAAATACGTCTTCTTGTTGTTCTTCTTGTTCGTTTTCTTTATCCTGGTTGTAAGTAAATTGCGTCAATAGTGATGTGTCGCACATTTCTTCGTTGGTATCAAACGAATCCTCTACTATTGGTGATTCAACATTAGAACATGACCGGCATTGACAATTTGTACATGCCAGAGAACGAAACAGTCCAACCAGTTTTGCAAAGACTCAAAATCATGTACTATTTTTACACGCAATAACTGGCTGTCATACGACGTCTGCATTTTACAGGAGGGGTAAAACAACAGTCTTTAAAATGTTTGAAAAATATGACTTAGTTCAATGTGTTGAAGTTTTCAAAAAAAGTAATTCAAGTAAAGAAGATATATTATCACCTACGGGATTCGCTTTCTTCTTTCTATGTACGGAGCTCCGAAAAAAAACCACCTCTGCTTAGATTATAATATTATAGATATCGAAATAAAAAAGAGGTGCAATTAGCTTGTCTTCCTCCAACCTCAGTTGCTGCTCATCAACATCTTTTCCGGGTATATTACCAAGTTCAAGTGTGGCTTGGTTATCAGCCAGACTCAAAAGACTGAGGTTGGAAGTTGGTCGACAATACATTAGAACCAATTCAGACTTACCACCTGCGCCGGAAAAACCGCTAAACACAATTTTTTGCAACTCTAAAAAGGGATGCAGTGCTAAATGTGGTTGTAAAAAAAGTTGAACTGTTTTGTTTTCTGGCATGTACAAATTGTCAAGACCGGTCATGTTCTAATGTTGAATCACCAATAGTAGAGGATTCGTTTGATACCAATGAAGAAACATGCGATATATCACTATTGACGGCGTCAATAGTCAATTTGACGCAATTTATTTACATCCAGGATGAAGAAAACGAACAAGACGAAAATCAAGAAGAAGATAAAAAAAAACAACAAGAAGAAGTATTTGACGGTTATTAATCAGACTAGTAAATTTCTATTTTTTTTAATTTCCATCGCTTTTAAAATTTCCAATCCTTACTAATATCTTTTATTCTGCAATAGTTTTCAATTAAACAGAATCACAATAGACATGTGGAATAGGCCTACTGGGGAAATCACGTTAAAAAAACGCCCTAAGTACACTACCTCACAGGTGGCGTGGAAACGTGTGCATATTATGACGACTACAACTCTATGACTCGTTATATCTTAGAAACAGTGGCTCTAAGGAAAAAAAGTATTGTGACATTTTTTATAGAGAATTTTATGATATATAATTTTTGTCTGAAGTAATTTTATAATAAAACTTACCGTTTTGCTGAAAATCGCGAAAATATTTTTTTTTCAGGCACTGGAATGATTCGGAATTTTAAAATGTTATTTTTAATTATGTTTTAAACAATTACAAGCATTTTCAGCTTGTTGTAAATTTATGTACCTTTGAATGAATGTCTAGATTGACTGGACTATACATTTTTTAATAAATTAATCAAATATTTTTGCACTTTCTTTTCGAAATTTTTGAATCAGCCTGCTCTGTTAGATATGTAAATAGCCAATGTTTTGACATACATTTAAACATATCAGCTGATTGAATTTTAGGTTATCCATTCATTTGAGATTCTACTCAAAACAGTAGACCTCTGACAAAACTGAAAAAATAGGCAAAGTAAGGTAAGCCTTACATTTGCCTATTAGCCTCGTAAAAATTCTTTTATTTTTCTAATAAATATATCAATTATTTTGGTGTTTATTCACAAAAACAAGAGTGTGAGATAGAAAAAAAGAGAAGTTTAAATTTTCAAAAAATAATCCTAAATAATTCAGATGGCATATGAATGTATTTTGTGCCAAATATACGTGGGCATTTAAGTGTCTTGCTGTCAAGAATCGTAGTGAAATGAAGTGTTGTTAAGACTTAACTGTACTTAACCGTGAGTCCGTTTTGACATACATTTAAAACAGGTAAGTTTTTTACTTTTAATCTGCATTTTCCAAGTCGTTTTTAAATATTTCTAGCCGATATGTCAACACTGGACGTCGAACAAGCCGAGCTCCTGATAATTGCCAGATAATTTGCGACAGACTATCGATTGCTGGCGGTGGCTTTCAAAACGTTGCCATTATTTTTTTAAATTTTCAAAGTTAAATAACTCAGTTAATGCCAATTTATTTTAAGAATGATAAAGCGAAAATATGTTTCTTTTGACCAGATCTACCAACCCTAAATAAAAAATAACAAAAAAATATTTGCACTTATTTCTGGGACACCCTGTATTTACGTTACCAAACCTTACCTTTGAGTTCTTTCTTCGGTTTGAGCCTCTTTTCAACTTCAGCCTTCAGTCTTCTTAGTAGGAATGGTTTAAGTACGGCGTGTAACCTCTCAACAAGTGCGTTGTCGCCGAGACATTGATTCGTATTAAACCAAGAGTCGAAATCGTCGGCCGAGTTAAACACATCTGGCAGGAGGAAATTTAACAAAGCCCAGAGTTCGTGCAAGTTGTTTTGAAGAGGTGTACCGGTTAGTAATAATCTAAAGTCATTTAATAACAAATTATATTAAAAATTGCTTTAAAAAAAAAATCAAAATAATATTTTATAACATTTTTTATATTCGAGATCGGGATGTCGTTTTGAAATCCCGGATAAGAACCTATAATCCCGGGATCCCGGAATTGACTATCAGAATGATAGATTTAATACCGTACGTCTCCGGATTGTCTTTCCCAAGCAGCATTTTTAGACACAAAATCGAAACAAAATCTCTGCTAAGAAACATTGCAAAACAGTTTCGTTAAATTTTTGATACATATGTTTCGTAACATAAATCGCTTTTTGTTTGGAAACACTTTACCATAATATGGTTTTGCTACATAAGCTATAACAATAAAGATCTTAGTGTCACAAATTTTTCGAAACTTTTAAGAAACAGATGTGGATCACATTTACAGATTTCGTATCCATTTTGTGCCTGAAAAGTTTCCATAATTTATTTAATATTCTGTAAAATATGAAAACAAAACCTTACTTTATTGTTTGGATTTTGTTCTGCAGTTTTTGCATTTAAGCATTCTTGCAAGTTTTTATAGTACCATAATAAAAAAAGCAGAAGGAAGGACATAGGTGAGTACAAGGTCAGTCAAGTTTGCCCCCCGTATTAGAGGAAATTCAAAAATAAATATACCACTATTTTGCACAATTTTGCACACCATAAATGATATTTTGCACACGTACCTAAGAGAAACCAAGGCCGTTTTTTAAACGGGGGGCAAACTTGACCGTTCCCCCTTTGTTAAGAAATTGATTTATTTCTATGTACATCGATTCGGCTAATTTTGCACAATTTTGCACACCTGTTTTTGAATTTTGCACACCCTTCTGACGAAAGTTATAAGCGGTTTAAAATTTCAAATTTTAAATTTCCCCCCCATCTGTGATTAAATTGAATTTTGTTTATATCAAACGAATCGGCTAATTTTGCACAATTTTGCACACCTGTTTTTGAATTTTGCACACCATCCTGATTAAAGTTATGAAGGTTTGAAAATTTGCAATTTCCCCCCCATCTGTCACGAAATTGAATTTTGTGTATATCAGACGAATCGACTAATTTTGCACACCTGTTTTTGAATTTTGCACACCATCCTGATTAAAGTTATGAAGGTTTGAAAATTTGCAATTTCCCCCCCATCTGTCACGAAATTGAATTTTGTGTATATCAAACGAATCGGCTAATTTTGCACAATTTTGCACACCTGTTTTTGAATTTTGCACACCCTTCTGACGAAAGTTATAAGCGGTTGAAAATTTGAAATTTTCCCCCCATCTGTGACTAAATTGAATTTTGTTTATATCAAACGAATCGGCTAATTTGGCACAAGTTTGCACACCTGTTTTTGAATTTTGCACACCATCCTGATTAAAGTTATGAAGGTTTGAAAATTTGCAATTTCCTCCCCATCTGTCACGAAATTGAATTTTGTTTATATCAAACGAATCGGCTAATTTTGCCCAATTTTGCACACCTGTTTTTGAATTTTGCACACCATCCTGATTAAAGTTATGAAGGTTTGAAAATTTGTAATTCCCCGTCATCTGTCACGAAATTGAATTTTGTGTATATCAAACGAATCGGCTAATTTTGCACAATTTTGCACAGTTATTTTCGAATTTTGCACACTCTCCTGACAAAAGTTATAAGAGTTTAAATATTTGAAATTTATTCCATTGTGTGTGAAATGTCCCATTTAAAAATACATAAGTATGAGTCATATTTCGAAAATGATAGATCTCAGCGACGTGAAAAGCTGCACGGAACTTAGATTTCACCTTTTAGATAATTTATAGCTTGCATAGAAGAACATTTATAAAACTAAAGATTCTACACACAGATTTGTCCTAGCCCTCTTACTTCCTGAAATACCTGGCAAATTTGAAAATTTTGCATTTTTCGACAACCCTCATATCTCGGTTATCCTATAACTTATTGAAAAGGTGAAGTCTGGGTTCCGTACAGTTTTCCACGTCGCGTCGCTGAGATCTGTCATTTTCAAATATGACTCATACTTATGTTTTTTAAATGAGACAATTCACACACAATGGGACAAATTTCAAATATTCAAACCCTTATAACTTTTGTCAGGAGAGTGTGCAAAATTCTAAAATAGGTGTGCAAAATTGGCCGATGCTTTTGATATAAACAAAAGTCAATTTCTTAGCAGATGGGGGGGAAATTGCAAACTTTCAAAACCTCATAACTTTCGTCAGGAAGGTGTGCAAAATTCTAAAATAGGTGTGCAAAATTGTGCAAAATTAGCCGATTCGTTTGATATAAACGAAATTCAATTTCTTAACAGATGGGGGGGAAATTGCAAATTTTCAAACCCGCATAACTTTAGTCAGGAGAATGCGCAAAATTCAAAAACAAGTGTGCAAAATTGTGCAAAATTAGCCCATTCGTTTGATATAAACAAAATTCAATTTAGTCACAGATGGGGGGGAAATTTCAAATTTTCAACCCCTTATAACTTTCGTCAGAAGGGTGTGCTAAATTTAAAAATAGGTGTGCAAAATTGTGCAAAATTAGCCGAATCGATGTACATAGAAATAAATCAATTTCGTAACAAATGGGGGGGAACGGTCAAGTTTGCCCCCCGTTTAAAAAACGGCTCTAGTTTCTCTTAGGTAAGTGTGCAAAATATCATTTATGGTGTGCAAAATTGTGCAAAATGAGTGCAAAATAGTGGTATATCTCTTTTTGAATTTCCTCTAGTACGGGGGGCAAACTTGACCGACCTGTGAGTACAAATAGAGGTATTTTTCTTATGCGATTTTACAATTATTTGTTATACGCATTACAGAGATGATTTGTTTTACAAATAAATGTAATAACAACCACTACCCATACCCAACAGGAGACCAAAGAAAAATGTTACCAGCAAAAGTTTTTTTTCTCTTTTTTCCACAATGGAATAGGTACATGTTTTTATGTTTTAATTGTGCTATAATAAGTAAACAAAAATGTTTTAATTATTTTGACCAGAAGTTTTGATTGGCGTTGTTGACAGGTGACTAGTTCTAAATTTCTACACAGTTAGCGCTAAATCGAAACATTTTGGAAACAAGGTTTCCATTTGTTGTCGATTCATTTTCGAAACACGAGTTTCTCTCTTTTTAGACACAAATATGATATAATGTAGATGATTTGTGTCCGACTCCATATTAATTTTATAAAATAATGAATTAAAATTCCGCCATGTTGGCTAGTGATAGCGTTTTTAACTAAAAATATATGTTTTATATCGGCTGTTAAGATAAATAAATTATGGGAGGTCGACATTGCTGATGGTTATTTTCATTTTGAAATCCACACATAGACTATTTAAGTTTGGTATTTTGTTTTTTTTAAATTTCGAAACAGTGGCTGCTGAAAACGGGAATATCTTGGACACAAATTGCAGAAAATGTTTCGAAACATTTCCTCCAAAAGTTTTGATTCCGCCTCCAAACATTTCAGGAAACGGCTAGTGCCACCATAGTATAAGGAAAATATGAGTTCACAATAAAATAAAATAAAAAAATTGATCATCGAGTAAAAACTTGTTTGAAAACAGAATATTTTCACATTTCGCGTAGGTAAAAATTCTTTTGTATCTGAAAATCTTCTGATTGGAAGAAATGCGGAAAAAATATATAATTACCTATTTTTATATTATTATCTATTTCAGAGATTTTCTACAACTTTTTTTTGATTTAAAACAAGTTTAATTTTCTGTACATAACTGGATTCGGCATAAAATTCTGCATATAGTACACCGTCTTTATTTAAAGCACACTGCGGTGTGGCCATTCTATTTCATATTTACTAAAACTTTGGTTAAAAACATTATATACGAAAGGTGGTAAAAAACTAGAGTGAATATAACTTTGTTAATACTTAGCTATGTTTTCTTAAACACGAAGGATACCAGAATAAATTGGTGTAGAAAAATTTACTTTATCAGATACAGAATATTTTTAAACTCAAATCGTAATATTTAAAATATTAGATCATTTTTTTTAAATGCAACACCTTGTATATTATTTTTCTTTCAGATGTAGAATTAAAAGGTAAACATTTTTTGTATTTAAAGTGTTCTTAAATTTTTAGCCGTTTTGCAAATATTTTCTGTATTTCATTACATATGGGATTTCCAAGGATAAAATATCAGACAAAGATCATATTAGGTGGCTTTGATAAAAATTTACTGTTTAAAGAGCCATATGTAATATAATACTGCGAAACCGTTAAAAATTTAGAAACCCTTTAAATAAAAAAATGTTCACTTTTTAATTCTGCATCTGACAGAAAAATAATATACAGAATGTGGCATTTAAAAAAATTGAGATATACCATTTTAAGTATTACGATTTTGGTGACGCCATAAAAAATACCCTATACAGGGTGTCCCAGAAATGAGTGCGTAATAAATGAGGCTCCAACACAGCAGCTATGCTATCCGGAGAAATATCCTCTTTATACGGTAAAATGAGTGTGAAATAGAATAATGTATATAGAATGATGTAAAATAATTTAAAAAAAATAAAACTAACTTTACCACAACTTTTTTGTGACACCCTGTATATAACAAAATATTTTAGGATACGCCCCTTTATAATCCTTGAAACATATGAATAAAACTTTTTTCACATCTTCGACAACGACACGACGATATTGGACCTCCTCGCACTAATGGGCCATCCTGTATATTTAAGGTGGTTTAAAGCTAGGTGTGGCACTTTTCTTCCCTCAAATATAAACTCAATATTTTGTCTATAATATTTTGAATATTGTTATATTACGACCACTTATAATAAAAAATAAATAAAAAAACATAAAAAAATACAGTCCACTAAATTTATAATAGATTATGCTATTATAAAATTCTATCAATTAAAAAATATGAATAATTTGCGGAGACTTTAGATGTACAAAATATTTACTCTAAAATTGTTTCAAACATAAATCTATATAAATTATCTCGTAAACTATTATTGAATGAAAATTTTATAGCAAATCCATTGACCAAAAAATATTTTCATGCGCATATTTGAGACAACCTGTATATCTAAAAAACTATTTTTAAAATCTGCCCACATGCTAAAAAAAATAATAATATTTAATTAATTACATAATATCTCAGCTTCTAAAATAACCAAATATAATTAAATGTTAATTGATAATTACTATCAGCTTGCCGATTTATATCCGATGGAAATCTAAAAAAAAATCAAAGAACAATTTTTGAATTATTACTACAATTAATAGCAGCACACAGTAATGCACTCATTTTTTATCAATCCGTCTCTGTGCTGGAACGCAACGCTCGAACCTCGCAGCTCGACGGACGGAATTCAACTGAAACGCTTTGCAACCTGCCGATATTCGACAGCTTGCAAAAACTGGCAGAAAATATTTGCGAGAGTGCAACTACTCTTTTCCTTAAACTATGGTGCCACCACATTGGAAACGCAAAACGCATGTAATAAAACCAAGTTTTGAAAACGTTTCCTATTTGTGGCATACCGTTTCCATTTTGTGTCAAGAAATAGACACGATTATTAGAAACATTACCTAAAATGTGTCCAAAAATGCTACTTGGGTTACAAGAGGAAAACCTTTTTTATTACTGACATTTTGAGAAAAACAGTGATGTTTAGGCCAGCATTACACTATCAAATTTTTTTGTCAAATATCTTTTATAAAAGATATTTGATGAAAAATTTGACATTGTTAATATACAATATTTTGTAAAATATTATTTATTCACTGTCAAATTCTTTGATAAAATAAAATCTTTGACAAAGAAATTTCATAGTGTAATACTGGCCTTAGGACTTACAACTATTAGTGACCTTAGTTAACACTGACTTTAGGAAATATTCAACTATATTTTCATGTTTTTTTTTAATTTTCTCTAAAACGGTATGGAAATTTGGAAGTGGGCCGCGTTTTAACTTATTAGTGTCAAAAGTACAAACGCGTAAGTCACGCCTGTATTTGTTACAGGTTGGTAGTTATTACATATAAATAAAAGTTATTCGCAAAGTGAAAAACCATGCATGGCCTAAATAAAAATAGAAACAAACCTGTTAGAAGTTTTGAATTCCCTGAGAATTTCGGAAAGTTTAGATTTCTCATTTTTGATCCTATGCGCCTCGTCAATGACCATATACCGCCAATTGAACTTTTTGAATACTGACTTTTCTTTAATGCACATTTCGTACGATGTTACGCATACATCCCATTCACCTGGCATCATTATATCTCTTATAAAAGTATTCTAAAACAATACAACAAAACATGGTAAATATTAATCTAAAAATATAACGTATTTTTTTGTATTTTTAACAATTTAAAAGGTAATACAACTACAGTAGAACTTCGATAATTCACATACTGAAACAGCTACAGTCGAATTAGTGAATAACGCGGATTTCTGGAATATTTTTTTATGTTTATCTTTCGTATTTGTTTTTAGTTTCCAACCTAAACTCAAAATTCAAACACATATTTTTATCAAAACAAAAATGCCAAGCATTTTATTAAAAACATATTACAATAACTAAAAATATAATAAAATATACAGGGCGGTCCGAATTGTATTCCAGAAACTTCGGCAGCATATTCTGCAGATAAAAATAAGTAAAAAAGTTTGTATAAATGTATGTCTTAAAATGCTTGGTTTCGAAGATACAGGGTGTAGAAGTTTCATTTTTATTTCAATTTTTCCAAATAATATCTAATATTTGGATCAAAATTGTGTCTGGGAGTTTTTTGACATGAGAAATTTGGGATTTTGATATCAATATGACTCCTATTTGTAGGGGGCGCCACCTACATGTGTTTTAACTGTTTTGAAGAGTAATAACTTTTCGTCCGTACCTGTATAAAACTACTGAGTGAAAAAATATACATTTCATTGATTTTTTAAGTAAAAAATGTCTCTTGGTAAAAATCGTTACAAGCAACACTTCGCAAAATATTTAGAATGGAAATAGTCAATACATGTCATTATTACAATAAAAATAGATATGTTGAGATGTAGATAGTTATTTGACTGAAATGATAAATTTTTCTTTGAAAAAATGATGATAAAACAGTTTCTGTTGAATTTTTGGCACAAAAACACTTCAAATTTATGATTTCAGTCTAATAACTATTTAGTCAACATGTTTAATTTGTCAACGATGACAGGTATTGATAATTTCGTTTCCAAATATCTTGAGAACCATTACTCCTAGCGATTTTTACCAAGAGACCTTTTTTATGTAAAAAACGTTGTAAATGTATATTTTTTTAGTCAGTAGATTTATACAGGTACGGACGAAAAGTTGTTACTCTTCAAACCAGTTAAAAATATGTAGTTGGCGCCCTCTATAAGTAGGAGTCATATTGACATCAAAACCAAGTTTCTCATGTCAAAAAACTCCCAGACACCAACTTTAATCCAAATATTGACGTTATACCTCAGAAACTATTTAGAAAAAATCAAAATAAAAAAAAACTACTACACCCTATATCTCCGAAACTAAGCCTTTCAAGACATACATTTATAAAAACTTTTTTTAATTATTTTTATCTGCAGAATATGCTGTCGAAATTTCCGGAATACAGTTCGTACCACCCTATATAAAACTTTATTGTACAGGATGTCAGTTTTTACATCACTGTGCTATATTTTTATTAAATTGAAGATGCTACACAGATTTGTCCTAGCTCCCTTGGTTTTTGAAATACAGGGTGAATCGGAAAATGTTGCATTTTTCGACCCCTTTCATATCTCGGTTGTGTTATAACTTATCGAAAAGGTGAAAACTGAGTCCTAAGAGATAATATAAAATTCAGTAGCATATCTAAATTTTCGCTGGAAGCTGTCATTCTTGAAATATGAGCGAAACTTATGTATTTTAATTGGAATATCATCCTATTACTTTTTTTATTTTCTTTGTCCTGTTATAAGCTTCTTAAAAATATACTATAGTCTATAATTTAACTTTCTTAACTTTTTGCAAATAGATTTCTGTAATTTGCCGCCAATTTTGACAGTTGTCCTATGACATAAGTGAAAAGAATTTTTTTTATGGTGGACATGCTGAAAAAATTCTGTATACATATATATCTTTATTCAAGCCACTTGTTGCAAGATTTTTGGCACACTCTATACATGCACAAAAAATAGTACCTATTTTATATTTTATGCCATATAAAAATCACTTGTGTATACTACAACTAATATTTTTTGAACAGCTAAGTTATAGGAAAATATTCTCTGATTTATGATTAAAAAAAAAACATAAACAAATACCCTAGCTTCCTGATCCCCAATCAAACAAACTGCTCTAAGTGAGGGACACCATTTCTTAAATTCGTTCATCCAATTTGATAAAGTCGACTTTGGAACAATTACAATATGGGGTCCGGCAGTATTCTTGTAATGCTTCATAAATCCTAGCAGAGATATTGTTTGCAGAGTTTTTCCTAAACCCATTTCATCAGCAAGAATACCATTAATACCTAAAAAACAGAACAAATAAAGATATGTCCAATTAATAGTTAATCAAAAACTAACCATTTTCATATAATGATATCATCCAGTTCAATCCTCTAACTTGGTAATCTCTCATTTCACCATTTTTTATAAAGAATGGAGAAGTGTCAAATCTAATCATTGCCTTTGTTTTGGTGTTTGTTTCAGCCAACAGTTCTTCATCTTCTTCTTGTTCTGTTTTTCGATGTCGGTGACTAAATAATAATCATAACTCAATAACAATTATGAATTATGACCTATGTAAGATTTGATTAAGAATAGAAGGTATTATGTTGATATGTAACAATCAACGATTTGGATTAGCAAATGAAATAGTAACAGAATTTCATATATATTTTTTTAGTTAAAAATTTATTTATATTTATAGTTAAAAATTTTGTGCCTTACTCAGCAACCTCCTCTTTAGTCTTTTTCGGTCTTCCAGATTTTGGCTTGGTTGGAGTTTTAGACTGATTCATAAAATGTGAGAAAATCTCAGTTTGTTTTAAAAGAAAATCAAAACGTTTACTACGATCTGTTTCCAATTTTGCGTCAAAATCCTCGTTCTTTGAGTTAGCATCTGATGAGGAGTCATTATCGTTCCCCTTTTAAAAAATTTCATTAAACGCTTTTTCTTAAATACACAGTAAACATTTTCTTACCCCGCTCTCGCCGATTTCTGTGTTGTCTGTTGTATCTTCAGTTTGAGACATCTTTAACTAATTTTCTTTTATTCCTGAATATATAAACAAATTTATAAATCGCCAACAATAACAAAAAACGTTTTTGCTGGTTTTCCGATTTTCAAAGAGGCGATTTAACAACCACAGGAGTTGTCAAAGTGAGACACCCACAGATCATGAAAGAAATTAATTTTAGAGGGAAACGTGACAGCAGGGATGTGACTCCGATTGTTTCAAATGCTTTTACGTAAGAAATAAACGTTTATTTGAATATTTATTTGAAAAAAAAATTGTACATAAACGAACACGGTCGAAACGGGTAATTTTATAATTCTGTCTTGTCAGATTTTTATTTTTTTTAATAAATGTGGCCTTGATCATATAGTCTAATTCATAGTCTAATTATATGATCTATAAGATCAAAGTTGCGCACCAAAGATTAAAAGTTAAAACACGCCATTCATTCTGTCAAAATTACGTCAAATTCCACAAATTCTCAACTTTGCATTTCTCTTTTGTTGCCGCTTCTAAAAAATTAAATGTTTTTCATGCCTCAAAATCTTTTAACAAGTAATTTTACTCTCTAACCAAGTTAATGAATATTTTATGTAAATTTTTTCTAAAAGGTAATTTGACTTGACCCTTATTGCATGCATATTTTGCTAAACTTAGGGCGGATTTACCCAATTCCTCAATTGCTATTCCTTAATTCTTATTTCTTATTTGCTAAATTATAAAAAGATAAAATACGTGCTATGCAGTTAGTTTGGTTATACAGTGTCTTAATCCTTAATTCTTAACCACGGTTCGTAATTCTTTATTTTGAAAGTTCCCAACTTTTAACTTTTTAGCGATTACGAATTAGCGATTAAGGAAAACGTGTAGATGCGCATGCATGAAAATTTGAAATGTTAATTTTTTGTGTATTTTGTGAACTGTTGTTCGTCCCATTCAAAGGAAGGCATGTCTTGTATTGGAGTTCCAAAATTGCCTTCCATGTCCTTTCTTCTATTCATGGGGCGAACCCCAAATCGCCTACAACCTCGGTGGCAATTCACGAGAGTAGCGACACAACAAGCCATGGTTATAAACAAACCCGAAAGTGCTGCAATTTTTTGTATGGACCTCATTACACACAATAACACAGCGAAGTAAAAACGATTTGATTTGATCTACTAGTGTCAGTTTTAAGAATTAAGAAATAAAGATTAAGACATTGGATAACTGTCTCTAAAAAAATAAGGGATAAAGAATTGTGTATTAAGAATTACAAATTAAAGACTAGAAATAAGAATTAAGGAATAGCAATTAAGAAATTGGGTAAATCCGCCCTTATACTCAATAAAATAATACATTTTCTTAATTAAGGTATCAAAAGGAGGAAAATACGACGAAACCCGGTTTCCAATGACCAGATCATTTAATTCATTTCATGTACTTGCAATTGCTAAATAAAATATTCATCAAAAATGCCAACAGCTACAGTTGGTAGCTTACAACTACCAAATAATGAAGATTGTGGAATCAGAGATGTTTGGGCTCATAACTTAGAAGATGAATTTCGCACTATCAGACAGGTAATTAATTCCTTAAGTACATTTATACAAATTCACTCTCATTTTATGTCTATAGATCGTTCAGAAATACCAGTATGTTGCCATGGATACTGAATTTCCAGGAGTTGTGGCTCGGCCTATAGGGGAATTTAGAAGTTCGGCTGATTATCAGTATCAAATGTTAAGATGTAATGTTGATTTGTTAAGAATAATACAACTTGGTCTTACATTCTTAGACGATAATGGCAAGACACCTGGTGGATCATACACTACATGGCAATTTAACTTTAAATTTAATTTACAGTAAGTTAAAATTTTATCAAAGTATTTATATTCTTTACAGTATTTTAAAACTGTACTTGTAGAGAAGATATGTATGCACAAGACAGTATAGACCTGTTAACCAACTCCGGAATCCAATTTAAAAAACATGAAGATGAGGGTATTGAGCCATTAGAATTTGCCGAACTACTTATGTCTTCTGGCATTGTTTTAATGGATAATATCAAATGGTTAAGCTTTCATTCGGGGTACGATTTTGGATATCTGATCAAATTACTTACCGATAATAACTTGCCTCAAGATGAAAACGAATTTTTTGACTTGTTGAAATTGTACTTTCCAACAATATATGATGTTAAGGTAAGACTTTGTCAATTCTGTTTCATAAACATTATGGATGATTAGAATTTTTTATTGTTCTGATTTTAGTACCTCATGAAGTCTTGCAAAACTTTAAAAGGGGGTTTACAGGAGGTAGCTGAGCAACTTGAGTTGGAACGTGTAGGACCCCAACATCAAGCTGGATCTGATTCTCTACTTACTGGAATGGCCTTTTTCAAGATGAAGGAGGTAACTCTATTGAAAGAATATTCATTAATTATAATTGTTTAAAATATTCCTTTTTAGATGTTTTTTGAGGATACTATTGACGATTCTAAATTTTCTGGTCACCTGTATGGTCTTGGAACATCATTCGCTGTGAATGGAACAAATAATTACCCACCTGATAATGGAGATAATGCAAACTCAGCATAACTGAATCAAGGATTTTTGGCAAATTTCTGAAAATGAGAACTGTACATAAATAAATTTTTTTAATGCTGTTCTGTAGTGGCAAGGCAAGACATTTTTATAAGTTTATAAATAGCAATCATCTTTTTTTTTTTGTGTTGATTTTTAATTGTTGATAGATTTAAATATGCATTTAGACAAAGCCTGCAAAAACAAATTTATATTTATATTGTAATTCTATATTAGACCTTTAAAAATTTTCATTTTTATATCTTTTTTCAAGCAGTGTAATAAATGTATCTTCTGTATTTTTAACTGAGAAAAATATCTAATTCTGAACTTGATTTCAGTTTTTATAAAATATTTAAACTTTTACTTATGCAAGTTCACTTATAGTCTGTCCAACGAGATGATGCATTACAGTGAGGATGGTTCTAGTTATTTTAAATCACAGGTGTAAATTTTATTTTCTGTAATTTTTTAAATATTATCTGTTGAAGTCATCTTCAACGGGCTTCTCTTTTGGACAGATTAGATTTTTGTTTAACTAGCAGTAGTAGAGGTATTAATATTAGTAGAAATCCTTTAAGTAGCATACAGATCAGTTATCAGTATATTATTTACTTAAGTAGCAACAGTACTAGGAGGTATACAGGGTGTTTCAAAAAACATGTGTCATCTCTCCCGGGAAGATTCCTCACATAAAAGTAAGATTTATTTTTCATATCAACATAGGTTCGATTCTGCTTTCTTTTGTAGCTACAGGGTGTTAAAGTCTTAATAACCTTTTGATTTATTATAATTTTCTTCCCAGTACTTTGAGTGATTTAAATGAAATTTTGAGGGTAAAAGTTATTATAAGTGCTACATATTATTTTAATGCTAAAAAAGTGTGGATAAATTCATCAGGGACGTGCATACAGGTTATCACTGGAATATTTTTCAAAATAAAAAACGTGCGCCACTGACTTTTTCTTTTGATATCAAAATTTTGTAGGCCAATTAATGCCAATTAAAAGTTATCTCTTGATATTTTGTCGAATTCGGCCTCCTTGATGAGATAAACGCAATTTTATTAATCACAAATAATAAAATAAAAATAAAATTAATAAATTATATATTTTACCTAATTTATTACTAAATATTATTACTATTAGTCCAACGTTACAGCAATTTCAAATAAAAAAATAATGGTATTTAAGATAATTACAAAAAACTAATGTTAAAAAGTTGTAACATCCTTTAACTCTGAAACTATATGCATTTCCATACCCATGGTTATAGGAACTTTTTTTCATATTTTTTGATAAGGAAAAAATGAGTACTTATTTAAAACTTTCACAAGTTAATGGTATTTAATATTTTTAAAGGTTGATATTAGACTTGGATCAGGCAAATTAATAAAATTGCGTTTATCTCATCAAGGAGGCCGCCAAGTCAGTGGCGTACATGCCGCCAAGTCAGTGGCGTACATGCTTTAAAAAAAATATATATTCCAGTGATAACCCATATCCACGTCCCTGGTGGATATGTCGACACTTTTTTAGTTTCAAAATATGTCGCATTTATAGTAACTTTTACCCTCAAAACCTCATTTGAAACGCCAAAAGTACTTGGAAGAAAATTATAATAAATCCAAAAAATATTAATACTTTAACACCCTGTAGCTACGAAACAAAGCACAATCGGACCTATGTTGATATGAGAAATAAATTAAGTAAGGAATCTCCCCACAAGAGACAGCACATGTATTTTGAAACACCCTGTATACAATTATATCATATATTATTCCTTTAAGTGGCAACAAACTGGTATAGTTTATCTGAAGTCAGTTGGAATAGATTGGGACTCTTAATTTCGGCACTGTCTATGTCGCCTCCTTTATTGGGACAAGGGAATTAAGAGTCTGAGTATTTTCAATTGACTTAGAAATACTATATATGTCCTTCCTGTTAGGTATCAATCCAGGTACATCTGTATGAGACTACTGAGATATTCATTGATCAGACAGTGTCCTGTTAAAAAACCGTGAGAATCCGAAGATTGTTCTTACTTAAATCTTTGATTTTTCTCGGTCGCAAGTCCTGAGAAATTTCTTTGCGTGTCTTGGACCTTTGGAGGATTCCCATTTCAGGTTATGGATGGAGTCTTCTAAGTTCTTAAATTCCGCTTTAAGTTAGTTTCCACTTGGGAAGCAGAAAGGTTCCAGGAACCGTTACTGGAGTGTTTGCTCTTTTTCTAGCTATATCGTTTTCTTTTTCATTGCCTTCCATCTCTTGGTGGGTCAGGTAAAGTAGGAGTGGTTTATTTTCTTTGCCTAATTTGTTCAGTATCTCTAGTTTGCATTCTTTGATCAACTTCGAATTGATGGTTACTGAGTTAACATAGCAGTTGCATCAATATATAGGGCTGGCCAAGGTTAGTCCACTGCTTTTATAATGACAGAACAGTAAAAACGTTGCCAAACGTATGAAATTTTAATAAACCAAGAAACTGTGCACATTTCTAAGAGACGTGGAAGGGGATATAGCAGATTCGTCGCGGTCGACCCAATCAGTACCATATCAGTACTTCTGTACATTCTAGGGAAGAGTGTACATGATGCGTTCAGCTCCACGATTTAATTACGTCTCGTGATACTTTATTTATTTATTTATTTATTAACGAGTCGTAATTTTCCCTATAGGTTGTAAATTTTATGTGCAAGTTAGAAACACTTGCACTTTCGGTAGAAATAAGTGGAATTGAGTTGGTGTTCGACAGTGGTCGCGCTAGTAGAACTCTGAATTCAAAAATCGATATCTCGAAATCCATTAGAAATAATTGATTGTAGTTTTTCTCAAAAACTTTCTTAATATTTCTGCTATATTTTCTTCGCAGACATGTGAAAATCTTTATAAATAAAAAGTTACACGATTGCTGAAAATTGCAATGCGCTAAAAATAAATGGATGTTTTTTTTTAATTTTTAATGAAAAAAAAACAAGCCTATGGAAATTTTATTAAAAAATGGCCGATTCATCTCTCCAAAAAATCCTATATGGTTTTTTTTAATTTTATTATAATTTTTTTTAATTTTTTTTAACAGAACGTCAACGGTTTTTGTAGACGTATTTTAAAAAACTAAAGGGTTCTCGAATAGTTGAATTTAAATATTTTAACTAGTTTTTTTCTTTATTCATTGTATTTTTTTTGCTTCCGACGACGGAAAGAGATAAACTTTTCGAAACGTTAAGCATTTTTTTGTTCGTTAAGCAAATTTGTACATCTTTAAACCTAACTTCTGACAACTAGTTTCTGTTTGGGATTAACGCAGAAGTGTTTACTTAAAATAACTATTTTATTTTGTAGATTTTCTTGCAGTGGCGAAAAACCCATATAGGATTTTTTGGAGAAATTTTCTTATTTAAACATCTTGTAAAAGATCCTAACTTCCTTAAATAAAAAAAAGTTTCAATATCTAAAGTAGTTCTTGAGTTATTGCGTGTTATGTGTTAAAAAGTTGAGTTTTTAAATTATCGCGATTAATGACGTTTTCTCGTTATAAACAAAATAGACACACACATATCGATATCCTTATAATTCCGTTTCAGATGCTCAGAAACATATTTAATGATTTTATCTAGTTATCCTTTAGAAAATAAAAGTCTTTTAAAAATATTTATGCAATTTGCGATCGTGATTTTACTTAACAGTCCAGTTCTCATTAGTACATCATTTCTTTAAGATTACAACACTGCCGTTAGATCAGAACATTATCTTTTTAAGTATCAATAATGCAGTTGCATGAGTACCAAATCAAACATTTTTTAAGGGTCAACTAACCAGTTACATCGGGTAGTGGGTAGGTACACCCTTACGATCCCGGTTTGGGTCAGACCTACTTCAGGGATGCGACCCTGCCCACACGAGCCTTGATTTGCTCTCACTCTATTTTTTGAGAGGAATCATGTCCTAACCTTTAATCCCACCAAATACAAAATCCTCTAACATCCTATTTTCCTCATCCTATTCCATTAGTCATTGATGAAGGTTGTCGATCCTTGATCAGACGTCTCCCCAGGTGGCGAGTACGGGAATGCCTCCCAGATATGGGTGGTCCCGCAGAAATTAAATATCCGGGGCAGAATAAAACTGACCTAGACAATGGCAGCTATTATTGGCTGTCTTTTTTTAGATTAGGCTGCCTTTTGGCAGTGGCGGATCTAGGGTAAAATACGTCGTGGGTAAAGACAAAATTTGGCGCCCCCACAATCCAAAAAATGTGTAGACACCCTCCCCTCCCCCAAAAAAAATAAAATTTGAAAAAATATTTCAAACGTTATATTACTTAAAACATAAATAAAAACAAAACAGAAACAAAAGAACATATTTAGTACTTATGCAGTCTTAAAAACCCTGCGAAGATCACGAAAATACCTGCTTATTACAAAATATTGCACCAAATTAAATTTCACTTTTCTAGCCTTTACAGAAGCCATTTCAGTATCTATCACTTTATTAAAGTTAATTTTTTCGGCTATTTCAAACTCTATACTTAATATTCCCAAGTCAGTCAGTCTCGCGAGTCGTTAGCATATTTAATTGCTAAGTCTGCAGCATTTTCTTGATTTCTTCTAGTGGTAATGATGCCAGTGACTTTCCAGAAAGGAAATAAAAATCTTCGACAACACCTTACATAGCATTAAACTTCCAGGAAAATTGCTCATTTATTTTATCCAATGATTCAAAAATTTGAATTTTGAGTTGTTTTTGTTCTTGGGTTAATGTACCAATTTCGTCATCAGCGTTTTCATCGAATAATCTTTTTACTTTTCTTGTCTGTTTTTCTGGGAGAACAGGCTCAATATTGCTTGCCTCTCTTTGCTTCTTTAAAGCAATCGTCGACTTTGTCTCTAAACTCAGCTAAGAAACTCTGTAATGAATTCAGCAATTTAGATGCCTCCGCGATCGAAAGCGTTGGCCTCTGCAAAGCAGTGTTTACATTTTCGATGTTCTTTAAAAATGCCTGCCGCACGCTCTAGGTAGCGTCTTCTATCTAAATTTTACTATTTTATTGTATGATGTTTGCATGGCGATTAGAGTTTTTACTACTGGTTTCGGACATACTTATATTTTGCCGCCCCTGTGCCGAAATTTTACTTGTAGGTATGATGTTTGCAGAAACTACTAACATACCTTATGTGTGCATGCGGTGCGTGATTAGAGTTTTTACCTATTGATTTCGGAGACATTTTGGGGCCTCTGCGGCACCCCTGGCGCCTGGCGTCGTGGGCAGGTGCCCACCTTGCCCACGCCTAGATCCGCCACTGCTTTTGGACTACAGAAGGAGGGATTTCGCCGTT